GAGCCTTGTGTGACACGGTTTAGTGTGAGGTGTCCCTGCCCATGGCAGGGAGGTTGGAACTGGATGAGCTTTAATGTCCTTTCCAGCCCTAACTGTTCTATGATCCTATGCAAAAAACGATTTCTTCTAGTGCTGGCCCAGTACAAGATGAAGGCTGAGTTCATCCATTCATGCAGCAGAAATCCCCTGAAGAGGGATGAGGAAAAGAGAATAATAATGTGCCTTGTATTTCTTTAGACACCAACATCTCGCAGCAGATGCCAGCAGGCAGGATTCGGTGGGGAACTCACCCCACACAAGCGTTTGAGGGTGCCTGTCAATACCGTAGCTGTATTTTGCAGGCTGCTGCTCAGCCATCCGGCGTGCAGTGACCGTACCCATGGCATGTTGGGCTGCAGTGCCGCCTGCTGATGTCCTCACTCATTGCAGAGCAGCAGTCAGCGTCTGACTGCAAACATACGGGGCGGCTTTGTAACTAAGCACAAGTAAATACACCCAGAATAGCGCCAGGCTGGCAGGGTTTCTGGGTTTCTTCTGTTGAGGAACCAGAGTTTCTGGTTAAAAAAGGTGCCTGTGTCTGTACCTGGCAGGGTTGGGTCTTCTTAAGCTTTCGTGTCTTATAAATCAGGACCAAAGCTCCCCCATTGCTGCCTTCTTTTGAAAATCATATTTAGGCTGCTCTATGATTGGGATGCTTCTGGAAAATAGACTGTGTTAGTTCTTCTGCGCTGAGATCTTGTTGCTATCCAAGTCTGCAGGCAAGGGGTAAAGATTCAGGGCCATGGCTGCACCATTTGGGCAGTAAAGATCCCTTGTTGCGATGCAAACTGATCCAAGAACTGATTGAGGTAGCTAGCCTTTCCTTCAGGACTTCTCTGCATCCACACATCCGCACACAGGGAAACACCGTGGAGCACCAGCCCACAAGCAGGCTTCTCAATCCTGTTCCCTTACGTTCAGTGTTTTGTTTCTTATGCAAATATCCACAAGGGGAAAGTATTCCCTATGGATTTACAGATAGGCTGGTATCTCTTTGTGCAAGGGAGGCACAAATCATAGAATCCCAGAGTGGTTTAGGTTGGAAAGGACCTTAAAATCATCCATTTCCAACCCCTTGCCATGGGCAGGGACACCTCCCACCAGACCATGCTGCCCAAGGCTCTGTAGAGCCTGGCCTTGAACACTGCCAAGGGATGGAGCTTGTGCTGCCTGCCAAAGGTAAGTGCTGCAGTGAAGTCAGCAGCACAGCCAGGCGGGTGCACGGGTTTGTAGCCTCTGCTGAAGCCCATGCTGTAGCTGAAGGGCTGTCGAGTTAGTGGTGCCAGCTGAGCTGACTCTAATCTAACCCAGATTAGAGCTTTTGCAGTTTAACCTCACACCAAATAACTAACTCTCTAGTTTGCTCTTAATTGCAAAAGCAGCAAAGGGAAGTACCCAAGTCATTTGCTTTTCAGAGAGGGTCATCAGTCAGGCTGGTAACTGCTTGGAGGTGAACTTGTGGGCAAACATTTGCTTTTGTGCTCTGAAAGAAATGGCCGGTTTCTGCTAATGTCGACTGAGCTGTTCTCATGGCAGGATATGCCTCTGTCCTGTTTGTACACTGGGCTTGGCTATTGACATGCCTGGTTTGTACCGTTATCGCTGTTACCAGTCATTTGAACTGCTCTCAAGGGTGAATTCTTACACTTTCTTTCCACCCATACCTGTCTGTGTAAAGCACGGTTCTGTCTGCCCTGCTGTCCCTATCTAAAACTGACTTTCAGACCAAGAAATAACCTAATCTTCTACTTTCATTGATTCTTTTTAATTTGTGCTTATTAGAACGCTGTCACTTCTTGAGCATTTAAATCCCTCCTGATACAAGAGCCACAGAGAACTACAAAAGCAGTAGTGATGAGTGCTGCTTAAACAGCCTCTTCCAGGAGCATCATTTCACCCTTCATCAGGAGCTGAATGCAGGGGTGCAGCCAAGCTATTTTAGCTTGGCATTACTTTTCTCTCCTTGAGCCTTCTGACATTGAACCATATCCAGTGAGAAGTGGTGGTACTTCTAAGAGAGCAGTCCAAGATAGATCTCATCAGAAATCCACTTAACATGTAGACAGTTGTTGAAGATGGGCTCAAGCCAAGCTTTGGAGGTACCAAAATCTTTTCTCCTCACTGCATTTGGAGGGATTTTCCCAAGAATTAGCAGTGCCAAATACCAGTTCCCTGCTCTCCACTGAGTTGATAGAAACTGTGGAGAGCCGTTTTCCTCTGACCTGACCTAAAAGTTTCAGCTTGGTTTAGATCAGCTTGTTTGGATAAGCTTATTGGGGATCCTAAGCTGCTATAGCACATGGACTGGCTCTACTTTCTTTTCTGTGCTTCCTTGGTTTTCACTGCTGTTTGTCCATCAGGCCCTTCATGCTCATCTTCTCCTTTTTAAACCCTTCAAGCTGTTGTGTATCTTCTAGTCCTTCTGAGTCATAGAAGCATAAAATGGGTTTGGGTTGGAAGGGACCTTCAAAGCTCATCCAGTTCCAACCCCCTGCAATGAACAGGGACATCTTCAACCAGATCAGGTTGCCCAGAACCACATCCAGCCTGGCCTGGGATGTCTCCAGGGATGGTTCATCCACCGCCTCTCTGGGCAACCTGTGCCAGTGTTTTACCACCCAAATCCTGTGGTGTAGATGCACCTGAACTAGCTTCAGATTGCTCAGACAGTGCTGGGAGCAGCATTCCTGTGGAAGCATGGGTCGCTGAGCTCCTTCCATGGATTTTGTAGGCCATGCCAAGTACTGTGTTGCCAGGGCTAACCTGCTCTCTCAGGTGAGCCGGGAGCTAAGTGCAGACACTGCATCCCTGTGCTGCAGCCTTTCCTGTGATGTTTAGGAAGCAGTGAGTAGGCAAGCAAGAAGCTGCCATTTAAACAGAACCCCAGGAAAGTTGTCAAATCTACAGATTTTACATAAGAAAAAACATGTTCTTTTCATTCTCTGAGCCCAGGTTTTTATTATACAAACTACTTAAGGTTTTCCTGGGGTTTTTTCTTCTTCTTATGATTCAGTTCTTTAAGTAATAAGGGAAAATAGGTACTAGCGGATATCCCTTCTTCTGGGTTCTTCAGCATCTCCTACCTCTGTGTGTTTGCCATATAAGGGGGAAAAGAATGTGCCCTGAGGGAATAGTCCTGGTACTGTGAAAATGGTGACACCTCTAACAACTTGCTGCTTTCAGTACATACCAGCTTGCACACAAAGATATCAGAGGGTATGGCAGACGTGAACTGGACCAAATTTATTGGAAGGACGGGAAGTTCAGGAATCCTGGCTTACAATGAAGTGAAAGGTGTCATAGTTCGGGCTCCAAATTTGTGGTGGGATTGCTTATGTTGTCCATATATCCTGTTTTATATATATATAAATCAAAGTTAATGCACAACTTCCTATAGCAAAACAATTTATGTACCTGTTTGTATTAAATTATTAACCCTTTTAGAGGGTTAAGGAGGATTCGGATGGTCTTGATCAGGTGAAGATCTATTTGGAGGTTCGAAACAACCTAAATACACACTGGAATGTAGTTGGTTTGTATAAGCGACTCATCTAAAAGGTACCCTATGATAAAATCATACAGTACTATGAGCTTACTGTCAGCAGTTTGTGTCACTGAATTTGAAAGGAAAGACTCCAATGCATCACTTTAGGACCTGTGTCTTTGCACAGGGGAGGATTAACCACGTAATCTCATTGTAGTTACAGAAACATTTGATTCTAGGGCAATAATTCTGGCTTTCCTGCAGGGTTCAAAAGCCAAACTAAACGCCAGTGCTTAATTGCGCTTCTCATTACTGAATCTGCTATGAAATTACACTGCTGAGCCAAGGAGGCAGGAAGATCTGAAGTTAATTAAATCTTCTGGCATAGCACATGGTCCCACACAGGAGCATTTCAGATGGAAGGGCGGCCAGTAAGGTGGTGTAGGTGCTGCTTTCAAGCCAGTGGGACTCCCAGCAATGCTTGTGCTGCCCCAGGAATGGAATGGACTTCAAAGAAGTAGCTGAAGTTATCCTTTTCCTCATCTGCACCGGTGCAAGGCAGGGCTCTGCTGCGGGCAAAGACCGGCCCTTTTGACATTAACAGGTTTAGTTAATAATTTATAACACATAATTTGAGGATCAGATTTGAGAGTGCCAACTTGGCCTGCAGAAGGAAGCTGAGTCACTTGAAAGCATATTTCTTAATGAAACTCTGGCCCATACAGGCAGCCTTTTACCAACTTTGTTATGAAGGCCAAGACTGAGGTTTTATGGGGGATTTATGGGGAAAAAGCTTCTTAAAGCTGGTCAGGATTTAATGTGACTTCTGTAACAGACCCAGGTGCCTCAGTCACAGCTATTTATGTAGATCCAAAGGAAAGCATCTTTCCTTCGGTATTAGTCAGGGCTCATTAACAACCACACCAGTAATTTACCTCACTTGGACTTGAAATGTCACCCTCCTAGGGATAATAGATATGCCCAGCGTACTGTGTGATCCGTATGTCCTAGCAAACAAAAGGATTCTGCGTTAAAATAATCTGTTTCTGGGGAACAGGCTGTTTGTTTGCTTTATCTTTTCATTTTTAACTTCTTCAGATTGTTACAGCAGATGGGCTGTTGAGCCAACAATAGATCATCATGTCTCACCACCATGGGATCTCTTTCTGGCTAGCTTGAGTCGAAACAGTTAGATACCAGTCCTCACCAAGCCCATTCCTAACACCTTCACCTTAATTATTTCTTTCCATCTGGTCCGTGGTGGTATAAACAGTTTCCTGCCTCCTTGCATCGCATCACAAATGCACGTAAATAAGCAATCTAGTGCTGAAACAATTCTTTTGAACACATTAAATTCCATCTATGCGTGCCAGCAGATGCCCCCTTCCATGCGTAACTGAATACTCAATCTGCTAAAGAGTTTGATGCGTTATTATTTGTCTCTTTATATTATGCTTTTTGACTTTTATCCCCACAGAGGTCTCAGTCTGCGTTCTCCCTGGCTAGTGAAGATATGCCCAGTAAAGGACTCGACCCTGCATCGTCTGTGACTGAGGCTCTTTGGAGGCAGCCAAAAGGCCACTTGAGGAAGCAGAAGGAGCACAAGCTCTCTGCGTTACCCAGCTGGAAGAGTGTGGACAGGCTAAATGAAACAAGTAAATATTTCTAGTACGAATAAGATTCTTTTCTTTGGTTCTTGCTCACATACACATACATAAATATGACTTAAACTAAGGACCTTCTCCAGGGGATTCCTGCTGATCTCTGTTAGGGGGGTTACATATAGAAATGTCTATGCGGTGATGCTTGAATGTCCTGGTTTCATTTGACTGTGTCACTGCTTATCTTTACCTTTTTCTTTCTTTTCCTCCAAGAACAGATTCAAAAGCTGGGCCTTTGGGGAGTTTATTTTGGACTGTTAGGAAACATCAGGCATCTCATTTGGGTGAATTTCAGAGCTTCTAAGACACAAGAGCCCAGCAGCCCTTCTTTGTCACTCGGTTATCTGTCCTCCAGTTGAAGGAGTCTGCAGCTGCCCATGAGATCCCTTCTGCTGCGCAAGTTAACTGTTCATGAGGTTACATGGTGAACCAAACGGTGAAATAACTCACATTTAGGATTCCCCCTTTCACCTTTATTTTCAGTCCCAATGAATTCACCAATGCAGTGTTCTGTGCAGCGCTACTGACTGCTGCTTCCACACAGGTTTGAGGAAGCTGTAGGAGTAGAAGCTTCACAGACCAGCAGCTTCCCTGGATCTCTGCATTAGTTATGGATGTGAATATGGATCATGGCTGGTAAGCAGCTTCCTAAATCAGCCCCATTCCTGAATCAGCACCCTGGGATAGAATGCAATTCCCTGCTTGCTTCAAAATGACCTAAGTACAGTCTGTCAGTGAAGAAGGTGGTTCCTGCTCTTGCGGGGAGTCCCATTGCCACCACCTCTTATGTTCTGGTTGTAGTGTTCATGAGGCCACAAGAGTGTAACACCAGGCAGGGACTGCACAGAAGAGCTGTTTAGTTTTCACCTACACAGCAGCACAAGGGGAAGGCTGCTCACTGCAGCAGCCCCTGCCCCCAGGTGATGGGGAACAGCAGAGCTATCCTATCTGCTGCTGTTGTCCTCCCATGATGCAGTCTGCTTGTTCCTGCTGTTCCAGCTTGCAACAGCTGTAGAGCCCATCTGATCCTTGTAGCAAATTGCTTCATGGAGCTAAAGAAGCAGAAAACTTCTCTTTTGTAGCGTGAATTTACTAGTGCTGTTGCTCCTGCAGCTGGCACACTAGGCACTGGCAAGCAGAAGCAGCCACAATATGTGTGTAGGTATAGTGGGGAGCAGGGATGAGGGCTGCCCATCAATTCAATTCAATTCAGTTCAATCCAATTCGTTTATCTGTAATGCCAGTTGATAACCTGGGAGACTGCAAATTAAACAGTGTCAATACCCCTCCTCCCTCAACAAAAGAAAGTAGTTGTAATTCTGAAGTAGTTGTAAAGTAGTACTAAAACCTGACTTAACTAAGTATGCATTATTTTGTGAACTGCTCATTCAGAAGTGGTGTTTTCCTGGGTGTTTTAGTGGAAGGCCTATTTTCAGTAGAGCAGTTTAATTGGGTGCTTAAATCTAAGGACCCACTTCAAGCCCATTGAATTGAACTGTTGAGCAATTTAGCACTTAACAATTGCTTAACCATGACAGAATGACAAATTGACCCAGTTTGCTTTCAGGTGCTCTATTCAGAGGATTTGTTCTGCTTCTTTCATCTAAGAACCACATTTGTGATGAAATTGTGGTGCCCATTGAGCTTATAGTAAATAGTTGATCGTGCTAGTATGTGTAAAAATGATCTCACCTATGCAGCAGTAAGCAGCTGTATGTTAGGATACAGAAAATGAAAGAAATCACAACCAAGAGTTTGGAGTGGTAACATCAGTGGGATTTTTAGTCATGTAGCCAAAAAGCAGCTCACAGTTTATTTTGGCTACCATTTGCACTGGTTTAAATGATGGCTCAAGAGCCAAGTCGTGAATCTGGGGGTTTTCCCCTTTACCAATCGTTTCACAATGATAATTCTGATTAATTTTCATTTTCACATGGATAAATTATAGCGTATGGCCAAAGAATTATGTGCAAAAGCCATTCCTTTAAGTAGGTGACTTTGTTTTGGAAAATCAGGAGGGAACATGTGGCATTACTTGAAGCTGGGATAAAACTGAGTCAGCTTTCTGACTATAACGTACTCAGTGGCTTTCCTTTCCACTCTGCTGAGTAAAGTCTCTGAGTAACTGTTGATGTGATCAGCTACACGCCTGTCCCTTCTTCAGTTAACTGAGGATGTTTGAGCAATTCTCATAGGGTGTTGCTGCACAAAACAGGGGGATATGGCTTGGGAGAGAAATAGACTGTGGCATTCCTGTGGCACTCCACTGCGTTCTGTTAGTGTAATGTGGTGCAGCTGACTTCAGTTCCTGTTGGAGATTTAGATCTTGCAGAAGTGTTTGCTTTGATTGAAAGAACGGTGCTTTAAAGAAAGATCTTCTTTCTCTCAAGAGAAACCCATGCTTAGCTTGGTTGATCCACGGATAGACTGCACAACTCGTTAAAGTTGTAAAGTAGGTAAGCTTTATTCAGCGCTGAGGCACATGGGGGATAGCTCCTCCAAAGGCATGCGCATCGCAGCGTTGTTTTCCCTTTGCATTTATCCTCTAAAGTTATACATATGCATGAGGTTGTACAACACGCCTATACTTATTCATGTCCTATCCCCACTTCGTATTATAATGAACTAAGAAGTCCTTTGCACTTGCACAGTGCCTCCTGGTGGTCGTGGGCAAGGGTCTCAAGACGAAGTAAATGAGTCTTCCTCGAGCCTGAACTTTTCATCTCTAGTCTTTACACATGTCCCCTGGAGGCTTGGTCATTGTCCAAAGCACAGAGACCAATTTCAGCCAGCCTAGGTGTCCAGAGGATGAGAATCAAGTCACAGTCCCTACTTCCTAACAATAGTCACGTCCTTACATCTTGTCCTAGCGTATACAGCAAGTACGATAAGCATGAAGGAGAAGTAACACTGTTAAGCAAGCGGCTTGATCTACCCCGTTGTACATTGTAAGTACAATAGGCATAAGCAAGCAGTAACACTTACACAAGCAGCTTGACCTCCTCCCTTGTACATTGGTTAACCCTTTGCATCATGGTGGCATAGCTGTAAAAAGCAAACATGCAGAAGCTCCTTATGCTTCATCACTTTTGTTCTTTTTTGCTCCTAAATCAGCTGTTACAATAGAGAGCTTTTAGTTCTCCCTAGAAACCCCACTTCAGCTGTATCCTCGGCTGCTCACTGCTGCAAGGAAACTATTCCTGTTTTGCTTTCTTTTGAAGCAGGAGTAGCAATTTTAGTGATGGCTTTTCTCCAGGTCTCTTAATCGGCATGAAATTTAGGAAGTGAAAACAGGCCAAAAGGACTCAAATGAGTAACAAATACAAAACCTGTTCTAAGTCTTTCATAGCTGGCGTTTAATTACCTTAGATTTATTGCTTCTCTTTTGTGGGGGTGTTTTGGTGGTGCTGCTGCACCACGGACCTTTCTTCTTGTTATCTTTTAAGCTAAGCCCACCTTCTTACTGCAGATTGTTCTTTATGAACGATTCCAGGGGGCAAGTCATCTTCGTGAGCTCCAAGTATTTGCCACCATGTGATGCAAGATGCCTGAGTGTCATCTACAACACAATCCGGATTTTACTTTGTCCATCTTTTAAATGGTGATGTTCTCTCTATAGGTTTGGAAAACTAATAGTTTGGGGGTTGGACTAGAAGAGCTTCCCTTCCAACCCAAACCCTATTCTATGGACGATTCTATGATTCTATAATGAGTTTATTTTTACAGTTTTCTGGAAGTGGCAGATTTGAACCCATGGAAGGAACCTGCAAGGCTGAAAAGCCATTCAGGAGGTTGAGATTACTGTGTAAAGCCATAGCATTACATATTCTTTCTGCTGCTGTGGGTGTCATCACACATTCACATTGGCCATGAAGGGACATTTCAAGTTTGACTGGAAATGGACTAAATTTGAAGCAATGCGGTTCTTGAGCTAAACATCACTTTTTGACCATATTTGTGCCATTTTAATATTTTTTTCCAGTCAGAATTGTAAAACATACTCTGAACAAGTGTAAGAATACGAGAGCAGCAGTGCTTGGGTCAGACTAAAAGCTCAGTTAGTCTAGGGTACAACAGCAGCAGCAATAGTAACTGTAAGCATGAGCCTAGGACAGATTAGAATAGAATCATAGAATGGTTTGGGTTGGAAACGACCTTAAGATCATCCAGTTCCAAACCCCTGCCGTGGACAGGGACACCTCACACTAGACCAGGTTGCTCCAAGCCCCTGTGTCCAGCCTGGCCTTGAACACTGCCAGGGATGGGGCAGCCACAGCTTCTCTGGGTACCCTGTGCCAGCGCCTCAGCACCCTCACAGGAAAGAGCTTCTGCCTTAGATCTAACCTGAACTTGCCCTGTTTCAGTTTGAACCCATCACCCCTTGTCCTATGACTACAGTCCCTGATGAAGAGTCCCTCTCCAGCATCCTTGTAGCCCCCTTCAGACACTGGAAGCTGCTCTGAGGTCTCCACGCAGCTTCTCTTCTCCAGGCTGAACAGCCCCAATGTTCTCAGCCTGCCTCCATACAGGAGGTGCTCCAGCCCCTGAGCATCCTCATGGCCTCCTCTGGACTTGCTCCAGCAGCTCCATGCCCTTCTGCTGTTGAGGACACCAGAGCTGCACACAGTGTTGCAAGTGGAGAAGAAAGCAAGTATTTCTCAATCCTCCTGTGTGTAGGCTCTGAACCTCCATGTCTTTCAGCTTAATGACTATCTGAGCTAGAAGTGGTTTTCTGTATTTAGTTAACCTCAGTGGATTTCTCTTCCAGGTCTATAGCCATCTCAGCTTTATCCCAGATTAATTTCTAGCATCCATTAACACCCTTGGGCAAGAGGCTCCATAGGTCTGGTACCCACTGCATCCCACTTCTTTCTTTTGTTTTGAACTTTGATTTCTCTAATTCCATGTGATATCCTCTGGTAGTTAGGTTGGAAGAGATTCCCTCATCTCTTTCAGCATGCATCATCCCAGTCTCCTTCAGATGGCAGAGCTCTGGCTTATTTAGTCATTCCTTGAATGGAAGACACTTCAGAGCCTGGTGAAACCTTTGTTGCTCTTCTCTGATCCTTTTTCCATCTTTCCTTGTCAAGATGGGGGACAAGAACTGCACACAGAATGGAAGACATTTGCAAAACACAGGATTTGTATATGTCTCTGTATTGATGTTCCCTCAGCCTTTCCAAATAACTCTTTTAGGAAGAACCTTGGTCCAAGTACTCTCTATAAAGAGTCATTGCCATGACTCTAAGCGGTGGCTTCAGAGTAGTACAGCAGCATGGCTCACAATATGAGTTCATGTAGCAGCAACACTTGTTAGTTCTGTTGAACCCTCCGATTTGCAGTCAGTTGATCACAAACTGGCGAGTAAAACGAGCTTTTCACACTGTGAGCGCAATTGTTCTTGTTTTGTCTTCACAGATCTACCTTCTGTGTTCCAAAGCACTGATGGGAACTGGGTAGCTTTGCAGAACGTCACTTTGCCTCGTCCTCGCATGCTCGCCAAACCAAAAAGTCAAGTGTTTGAAGCTTTGGAGAATGAATCCAGCGTTGTGTCTGCCTATGACGAGATGGGCTCAGACAGTGAGGATGACTACGACTGGAATGTGGCCTTGAACAAGCTGCGTCGGAGACCTCGGCAGTTACCAGGCGATTTCTATGATACCAGTTCCCAGTACGGCACTGGCTGGGTTTACGGCAGCGATCAGTACCAGGCAGTGACCTCCCCTTCCTCTGGCTTATACACCAATACTGAGACACTGTTCTCCGATTCGGAAACATCTTCACTCAACTCTTCCCAGGAAGCCAAAGGAACTGGCAAACTTCTCTGGTTACAAAGCAGAACTCAAAGTGAAGTGCCCAGAATGGAAAGAAAGCATTTCCACGGGGAACTGGATGTGAATTTCAACCCGCAGGCAACGAGCCTGGAGTACTCGGACAGCAGCGAGACTGAAGAGGTCCATTATGACTTAGAAAAGAGATCGAGAAGGTGGAGAAAGACCAAAGCAATCTCCGAAGAGTTCTGTGAAGAAAAAGACTGCACAAAAGGCGACAAGATGAATTCAAGTCAGGTAATTGTGTCTGAGCTTAACAAATGCACGCTCCTCAGAAAGATCTGGGCACAACTAATTAAGTGATGCTGGCAATAACGTGTGAATTGGGAGTGGGAGGTGGTGTTCTTCCAAGCTTTATTTTCCTCATGCCTCCTAACGGAGAAGCAGCAAAGGTAAAATGTTCCACGTACCGTGGGCAGGCTTTGCCTCTGTCTCAAATCTGCCACTTCCATCTGATCAGTGACATTGTTAATGCTGTAAAATACAGTGTTCTAGGACTTGCCAACAGCCACCACTGTTGATTAATCACTGTTTGGTTGCATTGGGCTTATTTTTAACTCCTTTGCTCTTAGACTGAGAAACCACTGCTGTGCCTGGGAATTTGCTGTTTGTGAATGTCCTGGTAAGGGATAAAGGGAATGAGCAGCAAGAACTCAGCAGGTTTTTGCAGGGACCTAATAAATATATGGAGGGAACTCAAGAAGAGTTACTGCGGGAAAGAGAGGTCCCAGTAATTAGCTTAGACTAGATACCTAGCTGTAAAGAGCCCCCAGTTTAATGAGATGCATCTCCACTAAGCTGTGTGCTCCTAAAGTACAAGCGTCCAGTTTAGCTGTGCTTTCTAGCCTGTAAATCCCATCAGTTCAGATTGGTTCTCTCTGGGGTACAAAGCGATGAACTGATTCAGCAGCAACTTCCAGGTTTGTTTGCAGTAGTTTAGCAATATGTGAGTATTCCTCATTAGATGATTGTTGGGCAGGGCTTGGGATGAGCTCCTGAATGACATGCAAGGTATGTTGGAAAAGAAAGCTCTTCTTATCATAGACTCATAGAATAGTTAGGGTTGGAAAGGACCTTAAGATCACCCAGTTCCACCCCCCCTGCCATGGGCAGGGACACCTCACACTAAACCATCTCACCCAAGGCCTTGTCCAACCTGGTCTTGAACACTGCCAAGGATGGAGCATTCACAGCCTCCCCGGGCAACCCATTCCAGTGCCTCACCACCCTCACAGGGAAGAATTTCCTCCTTATATCCAACCTAAACTTCCCCTGTTTCAGTTTGAACCCATCACCCCTTGTCCTATCACTACAGTCCCTGATGAAGAGTCCCTCCCCAGCATCCTTGTAGCCCCCTTCAGACACTGGAAGCTGCTCTGAGGTCTCCACGCAGCTTCTCTTCTCCAGGCTGAACAGCCCCAACTTTCTCAGCCTGTCTTCATACAGGAGGTGCTCCAGCCCCTGAGCATCCTCGTGGCCTCCTCTGGACTTGTTCCAACAGTTCCATGTCCTTTTTTATGTTGAGGACACCAGAACTGCACACAATGCTCCAGGTGAAGTCTCACAAGTGCAGAGTAGAGGGGCAGGATCACCTCCTTCGACCTCTGGTCACGCTCCTTTTATGCAGCCCAGGATACGGTTGCTTTCTGGGCTCAAGCGCACACTGAAGCCGGCTCATGTTCATTTTCTCATCACCCAACACCCCCAAGTCCTTCTCCTCAGGCTGCTCTGAATCTCTTCTCTGCCCAACCTGTAGCTGTGCCTGGGATTGCTCCGACCCAGCTGTAGGACCTTGCACTTGTCATGGTTAAACTCCATGAGGTTGGCATCAGCCCACCTCACAAGCGTGTCAAGGTCCCTCTGGATGGCATTCCTTCCCTCCAGGGTATCAACCAAACCACACAGCTTGGTGTCATGGGCAAACTTGCTGAGGGCGCACTCAATCCCACTGTCCGTGTCAGCGACAAAGATGTTGAACAAGACCGGTCCCAACACCCATCCCTGAGGGACACCACTCGTTACTGGTCTCCTTCTTGATTGAAGGATGCTTGGAGAGGGACTCTTCATCAGGGACTGTAGTGATAGGACAAGGGGTGATGGGTTCAAACTGAAACAGGGGAAGTTCAGGTTGGATCTAAGGCAGAAGTTCTTCCCTGTGAGGGTGCTGAGGCGCTGGCACAGCAGTGCTATGCTGGTGCCGTCACCAGGAGCAACCCACAAGGGGACCTGCCCGGCTCCGGCAACACCCACGGATCCCACCGGGCATTGCGGAAGGCGGCAGGGCCCTGGCAGGTTCCAGTGATCCCTGTGCCGGGCATTCCATAGGGCACCATGCAGCTGTTGGGCTCCAGCCATGGGAGCCCTGCAGGCACTGGGAAGCAAGGCAGCAGTGTCCTTCATGGACTAAGGCAAAGCCCCCGGGTGCCCACCGGGAATCCTGGCAGGCAAGAGGGGAGCGCTGGGGCTCTGGTAAGGCCCTAGGAAGAGCGTTGGCCACTGTGTAAGGAGGAGGAGGCCCTGTTTGAGGGCTCTGGTGGTCCCCCACATTACTCTTACCCCCCACTCCGAGTTTGGAGGTCACCCTCATGAACCCCAAAGTCCCCCTGTTTACTGCCATGGGCTAACGGGGGGCACTGAAGAGAGACTCAGGGACAGATGTACCCTTCTTTTGGGGACATGGAGGGGTCTCCCAAATCCCTGCATCCCTTTGGGGAGTTTTGGAGAGATTCCTGAACCCCAGAATCCCCCCCTGAACCCCCAGATCCCCTCTGAACCCCAGAGTTCTCTTCATCCAACACATCTCCACTCTTGGGGAACATGGGGCACCAAGGAGGGGCTAATGGTGCCCTGGGATTGATGGATGCCACCATTTTGTGGGACATGATGGGGGGGCTATATTGGTCTGTACTGGTGCAAACTGGTCCATACCACTCCATACTGGGATGTGTAAATTTGCAGATGACACCAAATCGGGTGGGAGCGTTGATGTACTTGGAGGGTGGGAAGCTCTGCAGGGGGATCTGGACAGGCTGGATCCATGGGCTGTGGCCAATGGGGTGAGGTTCAACAAAGCAAAGTGCTGGGTCCTGCAGTGCTCCAGGCTTGGGCTGGAAACTGCTCATGGGAAAGGACCTGTGGATGCTGAATGATGGAGCTGAACACGAGCAGGTTGTGCCCAGGCAGCCAAGAAGCCACCAGCATCCTGGCCTGGATCAGCACCAGTGCGGCAGCAGGGCCAGGGCAGGGATTGTGCCCCTGTGCTGGGCACTGGTGAGGCTGCACCTCGAATCCTGTGTTCAGTTCTGGGCCCCTCACTGCAAGAGAGACATTGAGGGGCTGGAGGGGGGCCAGAGAAGGGCAACGGAGCTGGTGCAGGGCCTGGAGCACAAGTGTGATGGGGAACGGCTGAGGGACCTGGGGGGTTCAGTGTGGAGAAGAGAAGGCTCAGGGGGGACCTGATCGCTGCCTACAACTGCCTGAGAGGAGGTTGTAGTGAGGTGGGGTCGGTCTCTGCTCCCAAGGAACAAGGGACAGGACAAGAGGAACCGGCCTCAAGCTGCACCAGGGCAGGTTTAGATGGAGCTGAGGAACAATTCCTTCCCCAGAGGGTGCTCAGGCATTGGACCAGGCTGCCCAGGGCAGGGCTGCAGTCACCGTCCCTGCAAGTGTTCACACAGCGTGGAGATGAGGCCTCAGTGCCATGGGTTAGTGGTGGCCTTGGAGTGCTGGGGAATGGTTGGACTGGGTGAGCTTAAAGGGCTTTTCCAGCCTGGTTCATTCTATGGTGCTATGATCTATGCATATTTACAGCATATCACATTATAAAACTAAAGTAGAAACACGGTGATTTGAAATCTTGATCTTACTCAGATGAGCTTCGAAGCTCATTTGGCAGAAAAAGCTTTTCATTCTGCAGAAGCTGATTGGGAAAAGAACAGATTTCAGCATAAGCAGTGGTTCCCCTTCTATTGTAGTTAGTACTTCCCAATCCTGATTTCCTAAAAGGCATTCTGCATCCTGAAGGTGAGCTATAAAGCAGTAATTTTTGCTATAAAGAGTAATGCTCCATCCCTGGCAGTGTTCAAGGCTGGGTTGGACAGAGCCTTGGGTGACATGGTCTAGTGTGAGGTGTCCCTACCCATGGCAGGGGATTGGAAGTGGATGATGTTAAGGTCCTTTCCAGCCCAAACCATTCTTTGGTTCTATGCTTCTAATTTAGTTGTGCAATTGATTCACAGATAACTACAGACAAAAATTGTCCAGGAAGCTGTGAGAGTGCTAGATACTAGAGTGCAATTTAGTGCAGGAGAGTCTGGCATTGCCAACACGATGCGTTAAGAGCAGCTTGGTGCAGAGGGTTTGCGAGGGAGCTGGCACAGTTAAAGTGTCCTGCGAAGACTGGAGGTAATCGGTCCATCCATAAACACTGCTGCTGTGGCCCTTTCGCAAAGCAAATCCCCTCTTTATGTATTTCCAAGTGAATGGAAGAGAGCACAGCATTTCGTCTCTCCAGCAGTGTCTGGTCCTGTCACTGTAGGAGAGCGTAAGGCAAATAGGAATCGTTTCCTAACTGAGAATTGTTCCAAATCATCCCCTTAGACCATTTCAAGGAGTTCAGCACTTTTAAAACCACCTAATTGCAGCTTATTTTATGGACTAGACTGAAAGCACTCTACATAATGAGTCAAAACTTTCTCTTAGCAGTCAGCAGGGAGAGAAAAATGTCTCCTGAAGGCAGTTAATGCTGTAGGTGCTCTGCGAGATGCTTGTCTCTCTCCACGGACTGTAGCAGATACCAAGTCCTAATCAGATAGCACAGGAATGAACTGATGTGTGGAACAAACATGAGATGCTTACAGATTTCCTGCGAGGGCTGACAGAAACATCCCCCTTTGCACATTAAATGTTGGGCAGGCACCCCGCGAAACAGACTTGCACAGAGATTGCAGTCTTCTTCTGTTCAGCCTCTGAAGTCAGGAACGTGGGGTCAAGTCTGAACACCCACTGTACTTAACTGAGCCTCTGAGTACTTCCCACCTACATCCAACAGTAAGTAAAGGAAGTGCTCTAAAAGACAGAACTTGTTCCAAGGAGGTTGGTGTTTGGAAAACAGTCGTTGCTGTAGAGATGCACCTATGCTTATAATCACTGGGGAAGCTGAAAATCTTAAGCAGCATCATCTATGATTCTATGATATAATGAGAGAGACTTTTCAAAGCATGTTTCCAGTAGTCTTCAAGCCAAACACAGACAATGCTCAAGCCAAGCCGTCAGGGAACTGAAAGCTGGACACAACTGCCAGGTCACGAGTTACTTCTTTCCCAAACTACGCTTTCTTTATCTGTGCCCTGCAGTGCTGGGAATGGGAAGTGCCATTTAGGCATGCTTGCTTGGTTGCACACAGATGCGTAATGATTTTGATAGTTCCTTTTTACATAATATAAAAGTAAGCAGGAATGATAAATATACTCCAAGAAACGTGGGTTTGCTGGCATCCCTCTGTAAAGACATGGTATTTTTTTATCAGCAGACACTTAGTGTGCTTCATTCTGGCTTCCCTGCAGAGTGATCATACCTATACTTTCCTAGGAAGCTGTTTGCCTTTCTGTGCCCACACAGTAATTACACTGTTCTTCTAATTCCTTTGCAGGATTTTGATGATTTATCAGAAGCAGATAGAAGCAGTGAAGATCAGCGTCATCATAGCAAGCCTGACCTTACGGAGGAGGAACTTAAGTCCAGGTTATTTCAGCTTGCTGCTAAAATGAGTGACAAGGAAACATCTTCTGGTGAAGAGCAGGAGTCAGAACCTAGAACAGACCCTGAAAACCAGAAGGAGAATTCATCCTCAGAGGAAAACGGTGGCAGAAGCATTCAGGAAGAGCTACAGAAGGTAAGTGGTCACTGGAGGGCAGTGGGGACAGTATTGTGAAAGCTGGAATCCAGAATGAGAAACTTGTGGTCAGAAAATCAAGCTTAAAAGTAACCCAAGGTTCTTTAGGCTGTATCTGAGCCTGCAACTCTTGTGCATGTGAACCTTCAGTTAAGGTGTGTGTTTCTCTCTGTCAGCCTACAGCATCAATTCAAAGCACTGAACTTAGCTTGTGTAATAAACCTATTAAGTGACTGATATTAACAGAACTATGTGAGTTTATACCGACTGAGAATCAGCTTATATAGTTTTGTTTAACACCACATCCAGTTCTTCTTTTATCTTCCTTGCTAACTAGCTGGTTTAAGTGTTTTTTACAGTCCTTTTATTTGCTTCTGTCTTTAGAGTATCATGTAGTTCATTCTGATGTCACAGATTCTTCTTTGCCTCTCCATTTGAATAGTTCATGCTTCTTTAATGCTTTCCAACCCTATTACTCTGTCAGCTAATAGACCTCTGTGAGTAGTAACATACTCTAATGAAACTCAGCATCAGTTCTGATAATGTATGAGATCCTCTGTGCTATTTCACCCTTACAGTGAGATACTTGATTTCAGTGTGACTCCACAGGACTTGCCATTTGCTCTCTTCCCTTCCTACCTCTGAATTTAAATTCAGATGATGTGTGCTTGAATCTGGTGCTGTAGAAGCCCAGCACTGCCCCTTGCACTCAGGTCATCCCTTAGACCCACTTAGGCTCATTCTTGTCTGCTGTGTGTCTTGATTCACCTCCTGGGGTCTTGTCTGCATAGCAGCTCATCTTTGGCAGGGAGTGTAGACAGCTTTCTAAAGGAAATCTGCTCTTCATCATTTGGAAGGTGTTTTGTTCAAACTGTATTAAAGGCTAATACACCAGGAGGTGGAAGCAGGATCAAGTGACCCAGGTGGACAGTAGAGGTGCTGTCCAAGTGTCAGGAAAGCCAGTGGTCACCTGGAGTTGAATCTGGGGAGAGACATGAAGGGAAATAAGAAAGGCTTCTACAGGTATATCAGCCCCAAAAGGCAGATAAGGGAAAGAGGGGCTCACCACTGCAATGACCTGATGACACAAAACATGGAAAAGGCTGTTACACGACATTGTTTTCACCTCAGCTTACAGGCAGGATTTGCCCTCAAGAATCCTAAGCCCCTGAGACCTATAGGAAAGTTTGGAGCAGTGAAGAAGCCCTCCCTCTTTTCTGTGTCTGCTATGGTGGACGCTTGTGGCCCCTGCACGTGTTGGGCCTGGAGCAAGCAGTCCAGCTCCCTCTCAGCTCCATACTGAAGTGAGTCCAGTTAAGGCTACAGAGATGATTAAAAGATTGGGGTATCTGAGTAGAAGCTCCCAGAAATGGAATTGTCTAGCCTAGAGAAGAGAAGGCTCAGGGAGAATCTCTTCAATGTGTATAAATACCTGATGGGGGGATGAGGGAGGGGGTTTGAGGTCGGAGATAAGGAAGTGAGAATCAGACTCTTCTCACCCTTGGCCAGTGCCAAGACAAGAAACAGTGGGCAGAAACTGAAATACATCAAATTCCATCTAAACATCAAAAGCTCTTCTACTGTGAGGGTGGACAAAAGCTGGAATAGGTTTCCCAGAGAGATTGGAGAGTCTGCATCCTTGGAGGTAAGCAGAATTTCACTGGACACAGCCCTGGGCAACCTGATTTTGTTGACCCTGCTTTGAACAGAAGGGTTGGACTAAGCAATTTCCAGAGGTTTCTTTCCAAACTTAGGTATTCTGTGACTTTCTGATTCTGAGTTATTTAGCCGTGGACTACACAGCAGTGTAAGTACATTTGTCATCATGTATGCAAATACCTCCAGGACGTCCACACAACCTTCCTATGGAAAGGAAAGAAAAGCTTTATAGCCAGTGCTTGTCAGCAGCATTCAGTTCAGCTTGTCTTTGGTTTACAAACCAGCAATATCAAATTATTCAACAGGATACATAGGCTAGGTAGGGTATAACATGATGCTATTAATGTCCAGAATTAAAGGCTGGAAATAGGGTATTTACCTATATGGTGAACTGAGCACAGAAAATGGAAAATGTATGGTTTGGGGTGTACTTATTCATCTGCATGCATCTACAAAGTAAAATCAGTTGGTTTTCCTCCTCTAATTTTATTATTGCTTTTAGATTTGTATGTCAGTTATTTCAAATAAAGCAAAGACTAATATTTTCTTTCCCTCAGTAAACTTCCCTGAAGTTTAAAAGGAATAAGAGGCATACCATGTTCAGCATGTTTGGCGTTCTTAATGCTTGATTGGTTTCCTGGTCGCAGTATATATTCCTTCTGTCTATAATAAAGAAACCAAACTATCCCAATACTATTCATGGTCATGACTTCAATGGAATTGATAGTAGAACTTGCTCCAGCTCTAGAGAAATAAGGAGGCTGCTTTCATTCTTCTTCTTGACAGCTGTCCTTAAAAGTGCTATAAAATCTTTTGCTGCGTGCCTTCTCTTTGGAAAGGTGGCTGACCAGCATCTTGCAATGAAATACTGAAGATGGCAGTGTGTAATACCGGTTGTGGCTATGGTAACCTAAAACATGAAGCCATAGCTGAGCTCATCAAACATGCAGTCACTTAAGATGAGTCAATGGCAGGTCTCAATGGAGACAAGCATAGAAAACGTATTTTCAGGGAACCAGTCATTTTAGATGCCTTAAAAGCCACATGTCCCAGTATGCTCTCTCCTTAAGAAATGTGATTTCTGCATATGTGGGGAATTAGAGATCTTTCAGACTGGCATTTAACATTCTTGGCCAGAGATGCAGGCTTCTGACCTGGCTTTCAAATTAGGTATACAGAAGCACTAATTCTGGGGCATTAAAACAAGAGCTTGAATGCCTCCAATCTGCTTTGAGCTCCTAAACACAAATTAAATACTGTATTTTAGCCATCTTGCTTAGATTTTAGCCTTGCTGCTTGTCTTTATTAGCCTTCAGTCTTCTATTCTCACTAGGTTCTTCTGGAACAGATTAGGAACCTAATTTCTAGCTATAGTATACCTGACCATAGAATATGATTTCAAAATCCATGGATTGCTTATTGAGTCACTGGAAATGAAATACCTGGTGTTCCTGAAAACCTGTCTTTCATATGCCTGCCCCTTCACAAATCTGGACTTCTGTTTTTAGTGGAAGCTGGCAATCTCACAGGCTGAACTGATCCTCTGAAACAGGTATTTAGTGTATTAAGATCTGAAGCAATGGCAAGAATTAGCATGTCTTGAGTGGGGAGTTAGCTGAAGTTGGGCATTTGCAGGCTCTCAGTTCTCACTTCAAACTGAGCTTTTGAGTTGTATGTCTACCTTTAAGATACGAGCTTGGAAATGCTCACCTATGAATTCATTGTTTTAATTCATATGGGATCCTCAAGGACTGAGGTGGGTGTTCATTAACATCAGTTAATTTAATTCCTTAGACTTAAATCCACTTAGACCTTCCGCACAACATTTCATTTCAATAGTTCTAACTTTGTGATTGCCTAAAATGTCCTTGTGGAGAGTCACAGCTCTAAAGCAAGCATACCTAAAGCAGACATGTTTTTATAGGTGACGTGTTGTACTTCCTAAGCTACAGAAGTAGTTCATGCTCTTCAGGGTTACGCAGCCCTGTGAAAAGCCTGCTTGTCTCTTGATCAGTGAAAGGCCATGGAGTCCTCTATGCCCTATGCTCAGCCTTCAGCCCCTCTAGACTTCAGGGGTGAACTGCCCCAAAATCACATTGTCCGCCTGTTGTGTTAGTGAAACAGCTTGTGTTGTGGGTTGTTTTTTGCTTCACCCCTCCAAATCCTAACAAATACCTAAAGGAAAAAGCAAAATGTACATTCCCTTGGAAGTACCTTAATGGCGCTGATCCTGAGAGTGGCAAGCATGATAAATGGGATAAATGTATTTAGTTCCCCTTCTCCTCTATTCTCTTTCTCCTTTAATGCTTTCATGAGGATAGGCTGGGTCTATATCTCATGGCATACCCCAGGATTACATTCTAGAAGGCAATTTCAGCAGTACCTAATGCAGACTGCCTTTTGAACGTGACCACTAAAACCAGCATATCCCTTGCTATTTTTCACATTGTCCTACACTGCACAGACCCTGAAATAGTTGTTAAAAACTTGCCTGTGTTTCTCTTTTTGTCTCCTTCTACTCTGTACTCCTCCTTGCTTAAGGTATGCCAAAGTTAACCTTGAAGTAATAACGCTGAGTTTCTCTCCTCTTTGTATTGATGCAGTGTGCTGCATTTACTGCTACTCAGACACTCTCACAACCAAGGCTTAGTAACTTTGGTTAAATCCTGCTGGTTTCTGTTAATGTTATTATATGACTAGGCACACAATAGCTCTTTTCTGAATGACAGCCTCTTAAGTTTGCTAAGTAGCACAGTTGGATCCTGTTCCCCAAGTGAAACCTCCCAAGTTCCTTGACGAATGAGTAACAGCAAAACTGTTCTTTCCATTAAATATTTATGCCTTCATTCTCTGGAAACATTCATCTAAGGTGATTCAAAGTTCCTAAAGGAGTCAGAACCCCGTGGCTCACCCAGTCAAGAAACAGTATAGGAACTATACTGCATTGCTACTGCTATGTTAAGAAAGATGAACAGTGTAATACAAAGACATCTTCCCGGCTTAACAACTCAGAACGTGTTTGTGTGGCTGTTGTCCCGTATTTTTGTATGCAGGATGCTCAGAAGAGTTCTTGTCTTTTGGCTTTTATTGTGATGTTAATTATCTGGACACTCTTCCAAAGCCCAAGATGGAAAACTGAATGTGGCACCATGGTAAAAAAGGATCTTTAAAATGTATGAAGTACACATAATCCGTGCAAAGGATTGGGGTGACAGCAGAAAAAAGAAGATTTGGGTTAAGGAAGTTGAAACGATGGCTTTTTCTTCTTAAAAAAAGGGGTGTGAGACTTTAATCTTCACATTGGCCTAATGGACCCAAAGTTTTAAGTTCTCAATTCCACAAAGCGGTCAAGTATATATTCAGTTTCAAACAGGGTTAAGTCGTTTGCTGGACAAAAACCCCATTCAAGGGATTTCTCCCCTGTATTTCCTATTATTTATCAGCCTTTAGTATATAGAAAATTTAGTTGATCTGAAGTTCATCTTGACAAAATACGAGTCTTTGGTTTTGAGCAAAATAGTTACTTCAAGACCATAAACATCCATTTTTTGTAAGTTTCCACGTATGGGCAGTGTTTTTTGTGTTCCTCCCATCCTGACACTTTCTGCCTCAATACAGTTGTGTTAGTATGTCTATGAGCAGTCAGTTCACCTGAGATGCCCTGGGGGATTCCACAGGGCCATAAGTTGCTATTCCAGGGGAAAAGTGCATCTCCCAGGTCCATGCCATATCTGACAGTGCTGTTTGAACACCCTCAGATTTCAAGATGTTTCAAATTGCATCTTCTCTGCCTGTGTGTAAGCGACTGAATCAAAGCCTGGAACCCTTCTTCAGTTGTCTGATCACCAAAGATTTACTCACTTAGGAAGAGAATGTAAATGCCACTTTCCATATACAGGACATCAGTGAAGATCAGTGTTAACCTGCTGTAACAAGGTGGGGGAAATAGACTGTGACGAGAAAGCTACGGTGTTCTTGCCTTCTAAGCAGCCCAGAGACCTGGCAGTAACAGAAGAGCTTTTTCAGATCTAGCTGGAAGAGATTCAAGTAAATGCTGCTCCTCAGCTGGATGATTCTTCTGTCACAGCACAGCCAACAGGGTGGCTATGGTTTGTGTCATTACTTCAAAGCAAAGCCAGGCAGTTTAGTTTAAATAGTCAAGGTAAATTAGGGGGTTTAAGGTAAGTCTCGTGACTTGACACTGGAGAGTGGTAGTATGAACCTGGAGAAGAGAAGGCTCAAGGGAAACCTTATTGCAGCCTTTCGGTTCTTAAAAGGGGCCTATCAGAAAGATGGGGAGAGACTTTTTAGCAGAGTCTCTTGTGACAGGATGAGGGGTGATGGTTTTAAGCTAAAAAAGGGGGCATTCAGGCTGCATGTGAGGAAGAAATTCTGTACAGGCTGCCCAAAGAGGCGGTGGATGAACCATCCCTGGAGACATCCCAGGCCAGGCTGGAGGTGGTTCTGGGCAACCTGATCTGGTTGAAGATGTCCCTGCTCATTGCAGGGGTTGGACTGGATGAGCTTTGAAGGTCCCTTCCAACCCAAACCATTCTGTGGTTCTATGAAGGGGTGTACTGGTTTGTTTTGGAACAGTGAAGTCCAGGAGAGGGAAAGCAGCAAACAGTAGGACGTGATTCAACACGAGGCATCTTACTGTGAGCATCTGTCTGTGGCATCAGTGAAGTACAAACCCTTTTGTAACTAGAAACACGTACAGGGTCCAAACTCCAATCAAAACCTGAAGATAGATGGCTTTTCTTCTTAATGCTGCTGCACAAGTCTTTTTCTATTGCTAGTGCCACTTTTGTGATGGTGGAAATCAGTATTTCCCATCTGCTTCCTGTTATTAAAGATGGTGTTCAAGGCCAGGTTGGACAGAGCCTTGGGTGATGTGGTTTAGTGGGAGGTGTCCCTGCCCATCTCAGGGGGGTTGGAACTGGATGATCTTAAGGTCCTTTCCAGCCCTAACTATTCTATGATTCTATGGCATGTCATTTGCAATATCTGTCTTAAGGAGATAATGTTATTCTCAAATCCCACAGACAAAAATAAATCAGGCATTGCTTTGTTTTAAACATTTTAGGAGCAAATGTAAAACCTAAGGTTGATGGTGTATTTGCTAGTTTCTTTATCCTTGTTATTCATCCCAAAGTTCTCTGTAAGTCTGAACCTATGTAAATGTTAACCTCTGTAGCTGTTAATATAACTTTTCTGCCTTTCTATTTAACTGCTTTCCCACTATCTAGGAAATACAAAAGGCTTTTGATCTACATTTAAAGCTGCAGTTTTTATCCACTGTATTGCAGCAGGTGAGAATGCTTTGTTTTGTCTGTGTCTTCTTGCATCTCTTACTAAGTAAGCGATGCTATAAAGTGATATTGAGGGTTTCCACATTTCCCAAGCAAAAGTCTCAAACTCAAAACGTTTTCCTGGAAATATCAGGCCTGAAAATTCATACATTTTGGCCACAATCAATAGTCATTTCAGAAAATCATTTTGTAATCACAGTTAGCCCTGTGTTACAGTGGGAGGGATGAGTATGAAGTAGGTATGTGAAGCTGACTGGCTCTCTTATTTGGCTTTGAGATGGGAATTTGGTTTTATTAAGAAGAACAGAAGCAAAGATGAGGTGCATGATCTCCCTATTCTTATGTACTCCCCTATTTTAAGAAATTTGGGATAAAACAATTAAACTTTTATTTCAGCAATTTCTGACCATCCAAGCTCCCAATTTATAAGCAAAACCCTTAATTCATTGTAGTGATTGCACGTAGTGAGTAGGCACTTTCTCACTTTGCTGCTAGAGTCTATTGCTTAGCATTTGTCTAGGTGGGAAGAGGTTCCATATTCGGTGCTACTTGAGTTTCAGCTTATGAGAATCAGCTATTAAAACAGGTTTTCATTTATTCCCTGAGCAAATATATGCTTCTCTTATATTTTTACATACATGCTGTTTTAATATGTCATGTGTCGTGGTAAGAAAAAGAATTCTGTAGCATTTTCTCAGTCATAAAATCACTTTTTTCTTGCAAAAGTTATGCTTAATTCAGCTCCTCCTCTCAACATCTCTTTTGTCCTCACCCTCAGAGTCTGATTTTGCACCAAGAGTTTTAATCACCTTTCAATCATCTTGGTTTTCTCTATCATCATCAAGGATGATTGTAAAGAACAAGTATTTTCCATCTGTGCAGTGTCATCAATCTGTGCCCATTGCAGATACAAAACCCTGCATGCACTTTAAGATTTAAATGTTTCCAGCTTGGACCCTAGCATTTCACCTCTTGGAAGTAACTTCCTTTCTCATGATTGTAGGCAACTTGTCTCTAGAAATGAGGCATTGCAAATTGTTAGGAATAGCATCTGGAACTACATTAGGACAGTGGATTGGATTTGTTTGTAAAAGTCTTATATTCAAAATTACCTAGCACAGGCAAAAAGAGAGGCTGTATTTCTTTGTGTTACACTTTGCAGAATGTCTGTAGAATAATTGCTCACTCTGTAAGATAAATTAGCTTTATATTTGTAAATGAGTGCCCATAAATGTAGATATTAAGGTCAAGGCAGGAAGTCTTAAACCTGCACAGAAGAGTAATTCTTTAACACCATAGTTTATCATAAAATCCCAGACTGGTTTGGGCTGGAAGGGACCCTAAAGCCCATCCAGCTCCAGCTCCATGCCATGGGCAGGGACACCTTCCACTAGAGCAGGTTGCTCCAAGTCTTGTCCAACCTGGCCTTGAACACTGCCAGGGATGGGGCAGCCACAGCTTCTCTGGGCAACCTGTTCCCACATCTCTGGTCTGCTCCCACATCTCTGGCCTATCCAGGTCCCTCTGGATCCCATCCCTTCCCTCCAGTGCCTCAACCGAACCACACAGCTCAGTGTCATTGGCAAACTTGCTGAGGGCACATCAGTCCCACTGTCCATGTTGCTGGCAAAGATGTTGAACAAGATCAGTCTCAACACAGACCCATGAAGGACACCACTCACCACGAGTCTACACTTGCACATTGAGCTGTTGACCTCAACCCTTTGAGTGCAACCATCCAGCCAGTTCCTTATCCAGTAAGTGGTCCATACATCAAATTGATGTCTCTCTAGTTTAGAGACAAGGATGTCATGCAGGACAGTATCAAACGCCATCATAGGATACTTGCCTTCCATCAAATAGCAAGGCAAATTTTAGCTTGCTTTCCCAGTCTTTGAGCTCGTAAGTGCTTAGGGCTCACTTTTAGGTCCAAGATCTTTTGAAGATCAAGGTTGATAACTGCGCTTGATAGCTGGGCATTGATGGCTCTGTTTCTCCCATGCTGTGACTTGCTGAGTGTCCCAGATCTTGCCTGTGAAGATGGGCTTTTTGCTGGGCTTTTCAGGGCATTCCCAAAGCTGTACAATGCACTCCCATGGGGTGGGGAGACGAGGGAGGCAGGGTTGGGCCTTGGTACTATTTTCATCAAGGTTGGATTCAGTCAGGTTACTCTGAAAAGATGAATCAAAGGGGCAAAGCAGGACACATTTTCTCCCCAGTCCCCCTCAACACACTGCAGAAGAAGGTCGCTATGAGGGGTATCGACTGCGACACAGGCACATGATAGAAGTGCTCACAATGGAGCTAAAGATGATTGCACAAGTCATCAAGTGTGTGGTCAATACTGCCAGCACTGCTTGTGATGGAAGGGTTTTCTTGCTCTACTTCTTGATCTGACTGTTGATGTCAACTGTTCTCTATTGAATTGCAAGTCACTGCCTCCCGTGCCGGTTAAATAGAGCCTAGCGATGGAGTAACATTATAGTAGTAAAAAAGAGCATACTAATGGCTGAATACAGTGTGGAGAAAAAATAGTGCATGTGAAGGAGAACTGCTGTAAGAACACTAAAAATAAAAGCAATAATGTTCATGCAAAGGAAACTTAATGTGGAAATGTCATGGGCTGATGAGATGCAGGCTCATGAGGGACCCTTCATCAGGGACTGTAGTGACAGGACAAGGGGTGATGGGTTCAAACTGAAACAGGGGAAGTTCAGGTTAGATCTAAGGCAGAAGTTCTTCCCTGTGAGGGTGCTGAGGCGCTGGCACAGGGTGCCCAGAGAAGCTGTGGCTGCCCCATCCCTGGCAGTGTTCAAGGCCAGGTTGGACACAGGGGCTTGGAGCAACCTGCTCTGGTGTGAGGTGTCCCTGCCCGTGGTAGGGCATTGGAACTGGACAATCTTAAGGTCCCTTCCAACCCAAACCACTCTGGGATTCCATGATTCTATACAAGGACTTAATGCTCACCTGCTCACAGCACTTTGGGCAGTTACGTTGCTTCAGTTTTGCCATCCTGCTTTCCTTCTGTTACTCATCCTTTGTGCTAGGATGCAAATACCATTCTATAAAGCACCTTCCAGTGCAGCATCCTTAAGTAAAGCAACTAAGGAAATATTGTCAGCATCAGCAGGGAAAGGAAAGAGGGACAGCAGACGGGAAGGAAAATGACTGGCAAGTCAGCAAGAGCTAGCTTAGACCACTGAAATGTAATCTTCAGCAAAACAGGAATTCTTTCCATCTGTCCAACCCCACGTAGAAATGACAGTGAAGACGTTTTCCAAGATGCTATTTGTGATGTTCAGTGCACCCGTATATATATATGTGCTTGCATGCACACACTTGCTTAGTATTTCATTAAAACTCACCCACAAAGAACTCAGGGAAAAGGAGCATCTCCTTCTGACTGTGTCTTTAACATACTGGGGAGTGTGGCCATTAATTATCATTAGAAGTATAAATCCATGTTTTCCTCGTTTCACTAAACTCCTGGGCTCAAATTCAGTAAAAAATGCCATTCTCATAACCAGTAGAAACAGCTGCATTGATTTGGGAGGGCTGGTGTTAATCCAGCAGTAAGGTAGCACAGTTACAATCCAAATGCATCCCAGTGTTTCAGGAGTAGTTGTGCTCAGCCTTTCTGTGCTTGATATTTGTCACAGAGATTGCTTTCTGCATCCATCACTTCCATGTTAGTCCCTTGACTTGCCTGACAAGACAGATGGGAGTTGACTTCATCATGGCATGATAGCTGCCTCTTTGAATCACTTATTAATGTTAACAGTGACCTTTCCTGCAGGATAAATTAGACAGCCAGGAGGTCTTTATAACAGTTTGAGATGTCCACCTGCCGTGATGATCTTGGTGTGCATGTGTCTGTGAATTTTAGGGGATTGTTATAAATCCTCATAAATCCTGTAAGTGCAGGGAGAGGACTGGGAAGCACTGCAATTCCAGGACACTTTTTCTGGTTTTCTTGTTTCCCCCCTCCCCTTTTTTTCCCCCCCTTTATTCATGTTAAATAATTCTATCTAGAGTCTCCTGCTAGGTCTGCAAACTGACTGGTGTGGAACCCAAGCTGGTTCAACAGCTTTTGACAGTTGCTCAACAAGAGGTAAAAGCATATTCAAACCCATTGACTGAGTATCCAGTTTTTCCAGTTTGAGAACCCTTTGAACTCCCCATATGTTGATCTTTTCTCTCCCTCGGGCAGACATTAATCTCTTCTTGCTTCTCCATAAAGTACAGCCCAGGGCAAAGCTGAGTTCTACGCATCCTTTAGGAGAAAACTTCAATAAAGTTCTATATTTAATACACTGATATATTGCTTGTGCTCTTCAGCTATGGGAGATCTGCTCCTCAGGTAGATATACTCCAAGGAAAATCACCTTTGCTTGCCACGTATTTACCATGTTTAAACTCTAGTGCTGTATCTGTGTTACCCTATAAAAGTCCATGTTTCACAAGCTGAAAGAGAAGGTTTGATGTTGTGACTCCTGTGTCTAGATACCCACAGGCTAAGATCAAGATACATTCAGTGATGCACACACTTTAAGAGCAGCCTTCCATCTGCCTTGTGTGACATTTAGTGGGAAGCAGACCTTTGGTTTTCAAAGTCAAACAGCATCTGCCACCAAAAACTGACCTCAGAATTCTAGAAAAGCTAAAAATCACATTTCTGCATGAGGGGAGGCTGAGGCTGGACATTAGGAAACATTTCTTGGCTAAGAGGGTAGTCAAACACTGGAACAGGCTTCCCAGGGAGGTGAACAGTGTTTAAGAAGCATTTGGGCAACGTCCTTAACAACATGCTTTAACATTTGGGTAGCCCTGAGTTGGTCAGGCATTTGGATTAACTGGTCATTGTAGGTCCCTTTCAACTGAAAAAGTATCCTACCCTACCCTACCCTACCCTACCCTACCCTACCCTACCCTACCCTACCCTACCCTACCCTATCCTACTCTACCCTACCCTATCCTACTCTATCCTATCCTACTCTATCCTATCCTATCCTATCCTATCCTATCCTATCCTATCCTATCCTATCCTATCCTATCCTATCCTATTATTTCTCATTGAACTTTTCTTCCCTATCCATTACCTATGGAGAAGATAGAGTATTTGACTCAAACTCTTGATTTCATAAAGCTTCGTATCGCAGAACACTTTATGATGAAAGCAACAACAACAACAAAACATCTTTTGTAGTGATTGGGCTGCAATAAATGTCAATGTGGATTCTCATATTTGGTGCAAGAGCCCTTTTTTCCTAAGGTAACATAATCTTTTTTGGAAATCCATCATTAACTACAAAGGATAATACAAAGTTTAAGGAACACTGAAGTGAGGCTGCAGTTCTTGAAACGTACATCAGTGAAGATGATGAAGAGAATGTAGTGTCTGGCCTTTATCCTTTTTTGTTTTGCTCATAGAATAGAGTATGAATTAGGTACTTGTAAAAGCAAATAATAAAACAAAGTAACATTGATTTCCTCTTCTGTCCTATAAAATTATTGATCTGGTTTTAACCTAATTGGCACTTGTGAAAATAGATGGAAAAAGCAGCAGGCTATTTCTGGGGTTCAAGTATTTGTTCTCAGTAAGAGAGTCGTAGACCTGCTTGTTTGGGGCTGTGTTGGCTGTCCTAAGAAGCTAAAGGTCTGAGTGCTGTAGCGTACTGTATTTGCTTTGTTCTCCTTCTCTTTAATCTCATGTTTCTAATTCTTCCTTATAAATTGGAGAACTAACAGCGCTAAAGGTGCTTTAATGTATCCATACCCAGCAATTGAGCATACACTGCTGAAAAAAAAGAGGGTTTCAGTAAGTCTTACCTAACATCAAAATGAACAGCTGGTTAAAGGAAAGAGATAATGAAGTTGTTCTTCCAGTTACAGCCACCAGAGTTTGTGTGAAGCAAAGGAACGTTACTTCTCCTACATCCTGCCTACGAGGTCAACTGACGTATAGATTGATGCAGCATTTCTGTCACAGACGTTTTGAATCAGTTATACTTTTGCCTGTGCTATAGCATTTACTGTATAGAACCCCAAATCAGTCTGTTCCCTCGATTTTAATCCTCAGACATTCTCTCTGTGGGAAAATTTACAGATGGATGAGCCCCTGATCCACAGGCTTATGTATTTGCAGGTTTGAGGAATTAATTCAATTTAGGTCTAAACTTCCCCCACTTTCTGTTAGGCAAAGCAACACTAAAGGCATCACACATAAATTCAGTGGCAGTATTTGTATTGGCTTCAACGAGCTTTTTAGCTCAGCCTCCAAGCTGTATAGTCTGGATGTTGAGCTTGGTGCTTGAAGATACATCAGGTACATCTTATTGCTATCAAGAGGAGTTGTCCTGAAGCCTAAAACTCTGTGAGACTCACCAGAATCAGGGTAGCTGATCACAAGTTACACATCAGGGCCTTATGGCTGATGAAACAAAGCAAACACCATGGATAAACCTGCATGCTTTTCCTTGGTATGTGATCTCAATTTACTTCATAAAGAGTAAATAAGGTAAATTGAGATGTGATATAACTGAGGATATAAATGCTTACACACTGAGCTCTCAACCTTCAATTTCTGGGGCTATCACATAATTCACAGCAAAAAAAATCTTTGGAAAATGCTGTCCTCCTGCTGAAAATGACTCTCCCATGTTTGCACTGCCATGCAATAGCTCCTGTGGATATGGAGACAGATGATTCCACATCTGTTTGCCAGTACCCAAAAAGGAAGATTGTGTTTTAAAGCCTGCTGCATAAACAGCCTTATCTAGCTCGCTCCTTTGGGATAAGGTTTGGACCATCTCTCCCGTAGAAACTGTGTTGTAGAGGCATTGCATGTGTATGTTATTGTGCATGCTGTAGCAGCGTGCAGATGTGGAAAAGGGAGGAGAAGAGAAGTAGATCTGATTTCATTCCCCAGTTCTTGTGTTTGTTCATAGCAGGTAGCCAGCTGTGGTGTTTTAGCCCAGCTAAAGCTGCAGCTAGGAGCAGCAAGGTGATTTTGTATATTACCCCTCTGTGCTAATGTGATGCTGTTGTTTTCTCTGTCTGCTCTTGTAACCAAACAGAAGTACTCTGCTGTCTCTCTCTGCAACATATCCACAGAAGTCCTGAAAGTCATCAATGCCACTGAAGAACTGATAGCAGAATCCAGTGGTCCCTGCGATTTCCCAGCTGACATTCAGGACAGGGGAAAAGGGACCTTCCCTTTGGGGACAGACCCTATCAGGCTTGATGAGCAGCTCACCACACTGGAAGAAAACGTAAGAGCATGGATCAGTATGTGAAAGTGTCCCATGTGTGAGTAAGCACGTGTGTGTGTGTGTGTGTGTGTGTGTGCCAATATGATGCGTTGGCAGCAAGAGTGGATGTTCACAATTAATATTGGGTTATTAAATACACAAAAAGAACAAAAATTCCTGTTGTAAAGGAGTGTTCTGCTCTCTTGCTGGGGTTTTTTCCTAATGTGTACTTGAAAGTATTTGGGGAGTGTTGGATGTTTTGGGGTTTACAACTGATTTTAGACTCTCTATGTCAAGTTACCTTAAGCCTTCCAACCCTCTGTGGCTGTGTAGCTGCACCATGCCTGGCTGAAACCACACTCCCAAGTCCCAGCACAGCCTCTTGCATGTAAGCACAGGTAGGAAATCATGTCCCCAGTCACGCAGAGGAGAGTGTGTACTGCACACTTAGAAAGAGCAGGGGCTGGAGATGCAGAATTAAACAAACATTTGTTTGGCCACATCCAAATCATCTCTCCCTTTTCATGAGTACTTGTCATCTGCAGGAAAAAACGCAATGCTGAATCACAGAGGGAAGTCACTACTCACTGGAAATCTTTATACATCCACATAAAGGAGTTGGTACACTTGTCACTTCCATTTTCCCTTCTTCCCACGTGTAGCTGAGTACCTGTCAGTGATTTTTTGCCCTTCATTAGGAGCTCTTCAGGGTCTCACAGAAATCTGGACATGGTTTGCTTTAGCCCCAGAGTATTTCCAGGCAGAATCTACGCTCCTGCATCTTTCTCTGCCCCATACAGGATATGACGTAGATGGCAAAACCTCCATGGTTTCAAGATTTCACCACCACACCTCATAGTAAAGAGCCTTTAGAAATCCAAGAATCCACCCAAAGAGGATCTGGGTGTATACAGACGCTTTGTTCATTATTGCTTTCGGTAGCATTACAGGGACTGTGCATCAGTGTAGAGATTGTGGGGCTGTCAGCACAAGGTTTTACTGTAAGATGTGCATACCTCAGTGATGGTCTCTGCAATCTCAATATGAAAAGGGAATAATGACTTTCCCATCCCGCATTTTTCTATCAGTTCTATTTTCTTTAGGGTTTAGTTTTCCCTCTTGAAATGTACAACCTACTGTGCAGAGAAGCTTGGGACAGCATTTGAATGCATCTTTTCTTTTACTCTCTAAAGGTGTTTCTGTTCATAATGTTCCTATTTCTTCTTTCTCTGGGCTTTTAGATGTGATAGGGCAATGTTAAAATCTGAAGGGGCTGTGGTATGTCACACCACAAGGATGTATCATCTCAATGAATGGAAAGAAGAATCAAAACCCACAAAAGCAGGAGCATTTCTATTTAATCAGCATGTTAACTTTATGGCCCACTTGTGCCTCCAGGTACTTCAGCTAAGATGTTAAATCAGATCACTTTTGTGTTCTGGCTACATTTGTCACAGATGTCATGCCTTCGGTTTGATTGTGGTCTTACAGGATGCAGCTTGTGCAGGATGTAGTGAATTTGTTTCTTAGCAATGTCACATAGAATTCCAGGCTGGTTTGGGTTGGAAAGGACCTTAAGATCATCCAGTTCCAACCCCCTGCCATGGGCAGGGAGGCCTCACAACAGACCATGTCACCCAAAGCTCTGTCAAACCTGGCCTTGAACACTGCCAAGGATGGAGCATTCACCACCCCTTTCACATACATGAAAAGCAGGTCTCTACATTTGTGCCTGGAAACAACTGATGCAAGAGGGAGGGCAAATAAATATCATAAAAACTAAACACTTAAATCTTACTCTAGTCATTCTCCACCACCACTTTTGATGCACAAAGTCACAGCACGGCCAGAAATTATTTGAATGCCTGTTACACCAAAGGACTGTGTGATCTAGGAATTGTGAGCAGATATAATGACCCGAGTGGAAAACGTGTGAAGTGAAGATATGTGCTCAAGGACCTGGTTCAGTCTGCCTGCCCCTTGAACCATGAACATGTTTAGTTAATGCTAGTTTGTTAGCAACACAATCTTAAAGTGAGTGAGGCCACCAATGGGGGAAATCAGGTTGTATATTTATTTTCCATTGTGCTGTTACCAGCCTCATGGGAACAGTCTCTTGGCTATGTAGCAAATAAGCAGAAGGTGCAGTATTGTCCCATGGGTTATGCCCAATTTTAAGCCAAAGCTAATGCCTGAAAATCACCCTTTTCTATACAGCAGGGACCTCCATCTATCTGAGTACCTTAGATTTCTTTGTGAAATAAAAGAAACACATAAAACACAGCATATCATGAATTACTGCTCCATTGAGCTGAATGGGAAACGAAGCCTTTACCTGCAGGTCTCAGAGGTACTGTACTTGTGTCTTGTATGGCACATGTAAGTCTATTGGCCCTCCAGAGGGCCAGGAGGCAGGAAGGTTTTGGCTGCTGTATATTTGGGTGAGAATGAAAATGGGAAACTGTTGTACATGTAAGCACAGATACTCTGCAAGAAGTTAATAACCATATGCTGCTGAACAGCTATTCTTAGAGTTTTGCTTGCCAGAAGGCATTAGGCGTGTTTCACACCTCATCTAAAGCTGTGTTTCATAATAAGCACAGGTTTATACGAGGTGTGATCTGATGCCTTCACTTGCAGACTTTGAGTTGTTGTGAGTAATTGGAATATCAAAAGTAAAGCAAACTTTCCAGCTTTTTTGGTTTGTTTGTTTTTGCTGGCGAACCTGGAACGGATTTGGTTTGGAATACCATTGTGGCACTTGGGACATCCCAGTGCAGCCACCTCGTGTGAATGTGTGCTTTCACATTAGGATCATAGAATCCCAGAGTGGTTTGGGCTGGAAAAGACATTGCAGCTCATCCAGTTCCAACCCCCTGCCACAGGCAGGGACACCTCACCCTACACCATGTTGCCCAAGGCTCTGTCCAGCCTGCCTTGAACACTGCCAGGGATGGAGCATTTACCATTTCTCTGGGTACCCTGTGCCAGCGCCTCACCACCCTCACAGGGAAGAACTTCTTCCTTATATCCAACCTGAACTTCCCCTGTTTCAGTTCGAACCCATCACCCCTTGTCCTATCGCTACAGTCCCTGATGAAGAGTCCCTCTCCAGCATCCAGAGGATTCCCCTGTGGCTTTCCTCTGCCAGGTAAGTCTCCCTCTCGTGGGTTAGCAAGGAGGGAAGCTCAAAGGTATCATGGAAGATGCAGGCTGCTTCAACCTTTATGCCCCCAGAACAGAAATCAGTGATGCTCTCCCTGCCTTGGCCCTGCAGGTGTACCTGACAGCCAGCACGGTGTATGGGCTGGAGGGGCAGCTGACCAGCCTGGAAGATGCTGCACGCAAGATCAACAGTGTCACTGCAGAGTCTGAGCTGGCCCATCTGGAAGACCAAGTGGCCACAGCAGCCGCCCAGGTTCATCACGCAGAGCTTCAGGTGAGGACAGCAGCTCCTCCCCATCTGCAGGGTCACGCTGCCTTGCTGTGTGCTTCCCTGTGGTCTGCACACACTTCCTTTTGATATGTTTTGTCCCGCAGTGGACTGATGATCCGAGGATGCTGACTGCATCACAGGAGCTGAGCAAAGTGTAGTTCAGATGTGTAACTCGGCCCAATCAGGTGTACTGTCTGGGTCAGGACAGCGATTGTGCCCCTGTGCTGGGCACTGGTGAGGCTGCACCTCGAATCCTGTGTTCAGTTCTGGGCCCCTCACTCCAAGAGAGACATTGAGGGGCTGGAGTGTGTCCAGAGAAGGGCAACGGAGCTGGTGCAGGGCCTGGAGCACAAGTGTGATGGGGAACGGCTGAGGGACCTGGGGGGTTCAGTCTGGAGAAGAGAAGGCTCAGGGGGGACCTGATCGCTGCCTACAACTGCCTGAGAGGAGGTTGTAGTGAGGTGGGGTCGGTCTCTGCTCCCAAGGAACAAGGGACAGGACAAGAGGAAACGGCCTCAAGCTGCACCAGGGCAGGTTTAGATGGAGCTGAGGAACAATTCCTTCCCCAGAGGGTGCTCAGGCATTGGACCAGGCTGCCCAGGGCAGGGCTGCAGTCACCGTCCCTGCAAGTGTTCACACAGCGTGGAGACGAGGCCTCAGTGCCATGGGTTAGGGGTGGCCTTGGAGTGCTGGGGAACGGTTGGACTGGGTGAGCTTGAAGGGCTTTCCCAACCTGTATTTGTCTCTTCCACTCATTTGCTTTTGCCATGGGAGTGCAGCAGCTTCAGAGTGCAGTGCTAATGCTGAGCCTGCTCCTTGCTGCCAGGCAGCTCACATGCTGTGCTCCGTGTCCCACGCGTGGCTGTGGTCAGGCTGCAGATGCAGCATTAGGCAGTTTATCTAGTCAGCAGATTGTAAAGCACTTCCCAAAAGAAGCACTTGGCAGTTCTAACAAGAGGGGCCAAGGGCAGCCAGCACCTGAGCCAAGCACAGAGCCTAGCACTTGGGATTTAGCCTCTAAGCAGTACACATCCCAGCCTAAAGGCAGGTGCTCTGTGGGCTGTGATCTAGCATCTCTCTAGAGGCTCCGGATAGTCTGGGGCTCAGACGAACTCATTGTGATCTGGTGCTAAGAGTTGAATGAAGTAACACTACCAGTCCTCAAGGGGCTAACCCTGCTAGCAACTCACTGCCAGTGCTCTCAATGACCAGGCTGTACCACCGAGGCTCTCTGACCTGGTCCAAGCTTTCTTGGGAAGTACCTGTTCATTCTACTCAGCAGGAGCATCTCCTTTTAGGACTAAGCAAAGATCTGGGAGTCTGGCATCTCTCTGATGTCAGAAGTTCATTGCTTCTGCACTAGTGGGTGACTGGCTGCGATGTTTTGTTGCCTTTGGTCATTACTTTATGGTAGATACGTGAATGGGAGTGAGAGGGGAGGGGAAGAGAGGCCTAAGCTATAAAGGAGGATGACAGAGAGGCCAGTGAAAGCTCTTCTGCAGAGTGAACAGCTTCAGGTATCATTGTGAATCAGGAGCTGGCTTTTATGTTTGAATTCTCTGGCACTGCTTTCCCTTTTGGCAACGTGTTTCCACTAGTCTCAACATCGGCCTACTTTCCCTCAGGTGTTTGCTTTCATGGACTCTTTTCTTCCCTAGCAATTTGTTTTCCATTGAGTGTTTCTATGTAGTATGTACCTGCATTATGCACGTTTGTGTTTAACATACATATACCCTTAAATTATAAATATATAAGATCAAATGTTTTGATTTTGTGATGGAGGATGTACTTTGTGTGTGCATGGAATTACTAGTGAATTAGGAAATGTATCCCACTAAGTCATTCTTTGAATGCAGCCATTGAAAATCACAGCTTGCATGCATTTGAGATTAGGCAGCTAAAGGTAACTGGGAGATGGCAGATGCAGCTTTTCTCTCCTCCTTTCTTGTTTTCCTCAAAAGGAGTGAAATGCCTCTTCCTTGGGGTCACAAGGTAGGTTGGATTGTTCTTGTACTTCATCTTTACTAACAAATTAAGCCCCTTTTAACATCAGGACTAAAGAATACAGGCAGATGTCAGAAGTGCTCAAGTCAGCCATCTGTTTGCATCTTCTGATTAAAGAGGGTTTGATTTGGGATGGGAGCTATTTTAGTAGTGACATTACAGTAATTTGAAAACCTCTTTTCCCCCCTCCCCATCTGTCTGTCTCTCTCTTTTATTTCCATTGAAGATTTCAGATATTGAGAGCAGAATATCAGCTCTCACAGTTGCAGGCTTGAACGTGGCTCCATGTGTTCGCCTGACAAGGAAACGGGATCAAAAGCAAACAAACCAGGTGCCAGAACATTCTGTAGTATTCCAAAATACATTGGAATCTTGCCTCCTTTTCTGTCATGGAGTAATGCTTATGTGTTGTTTACAGATGCACACAATAGACACATCAAGACAGCAGAGGAGAAAACTTCCAGCTCCACCAATAAAAGGTGCACGTCAGTTGTTACGTACATTAAAGAAAGAGATTCTCTGTTTGTAAGATTCAATATAATGGGCAGTTCAGCAAAGGAGGGGAAAGATTTAAGTTACCAAATGAACAGTTTGGGTTTATCTTCTTTTTAACCCCATGGTGTGTTATCTGGCAATTTTAGGGCATGCTTCACCTTTCATTACTCTTGTCTTGTATAATTCCACTGATTGACATGGCCTCAGACATCAGTAAATTGGGGGTATCACAGCCTGCTGGCTCTCATTTAAATTAAACCCACCTTTCTTCATGCAGCTTAGGGGAAGTTTTCTCTCTCCTCAGGTGTGACTCTGCGGGAGTATTGGTACATCTCCTTCAGTCTGCTCTGTGAAAAATCTCCCCTTTTTGTCTTTTTTTCCCAGGTGAAAAAATAGATGGTTCTCCAGTTACCACTGTCAGGACGTTCAACAGAAACTTCATGCTTCAAGGATCTCTAACACAAAGAACTAAAGAGAGGAAAAGCACTGCCAAGGACTTAATGGTAAATTCATAACATATCATAGAATCCCAGACTGGTTTAGGTTGGAAAAGACCTTAAGGTCATCCAGTTCCAACCCCCTGCCATGGGCAGGGGCACCTCACACTAGAGCAAGTTCCTCCAAGCCCCTGTGTCCAACCTGGCCTTGAACACTGCCAGGGATGGGGCAGCCACAGCTTCTCTGGGCACCCTGTGCCAGCGCCTCAGCACCCTCACAGGGAAGAACTTCTGCCTTAGATCCAACCTGAACTTCCCCTGTTTCAGTTTGAACCCATCACCCCTTGTCCTGTCACTACAGTCCCTGATGAAGAGTCCCTCCCCAGCATCCTTGTAGCCCCCTTCAGACACTGGAAGCTGCTCTGAGGTCTCCACGCAGCTTCTCTTCTCCAGGCTGAACAGCCCCAGTGTTCTCAGCCTGTCTCCATACGGGAGGTGCTCCAGCCCATGATCACCCTTGTGGCCTCCTCTGGACTTGCTTCAGCTGCTCCATGTCCTTATGCTGAGGACACCAGAACTGCACGCATCACTAAAACTGCTGTTAAAAGCAGTAAATAGAGAGCAGTAGATGTGTAGGCAGCTGCATTTCATCATCTTCACAAAACTTCTCTTAATAGTTTGAGGGAAAAAGAAGAGAGACCATTGAGGCAGCTCTGAACAAATACAACCATTGTCCTGGGAGCTGTCTGACTGTATACCATAGTCGAGCAGCTCCTGAATATCAGCTTGTGTGAATGTACCCTGGCTGCCAGGTCTCCAGGAGTGTGCTACCCTTATTAAACCCCATATCAAATCAAATCAAATCAGTTGGTGCTCCCCTGCAAGTCAGACCTGACCCAGGCCCTCACAGAACCAGCTGCACACTGTAACTCAGCAGGTGAGAGTCCCCTTGAATCTCAGCAACGTTTCAGAAACATTCAGAGGTTACCTAAGTGGAAAAGCTTGTTTTGTGGTTTGCTCATTTTTTCTCTTTCCTGTCCCTTTCTGTTCTAGGAACCTGCAATAGGATCTGCTGTGATGTACTAAACTTACTCCTACTGCCAGTAACACACTGCCTAAGGCTGTACACTAGAGTGCCTTTACTTAACAGCCATTGCATACGTCCAGCTGAAAATGGACCCTCAAGAACCTACAAAGCCTCAGTTACAGGGCTTTGTTTGGATACCTCACTGAGAAAGCTGTCCAAGTCTTCAGCATTGTGGTCTGCTAAAGGAAACTCTGCCTTAAAGTTCTCACAAAAGTCCAGACAGGATGCTGAGTTTCAAGAGCAAGGCTCCACGTTTTAAGATGCACTTTTTCTCCCTATTGATTGTACGGAAGTATGTCATCTTTACACCGCAGTATGTTTTTGTACACACAGTCAGTCAGAATGATAGGCCAGTTAATCTGCCACACCAGACCTGTGATCCATATTTGCTGGTTACTAGCATCCATGTTGTCAAGCAATAAGAACAACTGCGCAGCCTGTGCAGGGTGGTGGGAGTGGAGAACCAGTGTACCTCACTCTGGGAGTCAGTGGGAGGTTCTGACAGGGTTCACAGGAGGAGGTGTGGGATGTGCAAAGGCTTCTCTGCTCACTGAGGGTACGTTTGGCAGTCGCTGTTGTAGCTCCAGAGCGAGGTATTTTGCTCTTGGCAGCAGGGGGAACATGGATGTCGTGTTGAAGCGTGAATTGGTAGCAGCACATGTGGACCAGATGTCTGTTATGATCCTGGTGTCTGGAAGCATCCGAGCACTGTTGTGAAACCAACACCTCTCTGTGTCTCGTTCTTCTTGGGAGCATTGTCTGCTTTGGTGGTGGCCAACCACGCTGTAGTTCAGAATAAATTCTGACCAAATCCGTTAAGGTTGGTAAAAGAAGGTGAAGACATTGTAGATGAGATCTCTGCTGGTGGTTGTAGGGTGGCTGCAGTCTGTGAGAGATTCCCTTCTGCTATTTCCTGGCTTTTCTGAGGAGGAGGCAAATGTAGCCCAGAGATCTCTTCCAACGTAGAGTAGCTGGGACCTGCTGCCATGTGCACCCCACTACTGTTGAACCACTCTGAATTGGATTGTGAATGGTAGAATTTCATCTTTCATTGCTCGAGACCTTCAGAAGGTGAGCCCTCAAAGGTGGAAGGCCCTTGAGCAGATGCCTAGGAGGGAAGATGCTGCTTACAGGGTGTCCCTCTCTCCCTTTCAGGGAGGACCTTGCCAATCTGTGGTACTTTTTGCTCTGAAGAATACAAAGGAAGTAGTTAGAGGAGGTGATAAGCCAGTGAATCTGTTACCTTCCATGCAAAGTGCAGAGCAGGTCCCCAGATGCAGAGTGGGTTGTTGTGAAGCATGCCATGAAGGAAGGCACAGGCTGGCAAGTTCCCCCTCAGCATCAAGGAGCAGTGGGTACCAGGGCAGGAGGAGAGCTGCTCTTTTCCCTGGGCCCCCAGCAAATACCCACTAGTAGAGTGCCACATGTTACCTGCTACATGGCAGGAATGCCATCCCCTGGAACACCAGGCTATGAAGTGGCTCCAGTTGGGCAAACAGGAGGAAAACTGGGCAAATTTCCTGGCTGGGTGGGTTTTAGTGGGGCAGGTGGGAAGGTGAGGAACGGCTGGATGGGGCAGTTGGAACAGCAGTGCCAGTTGCAAATCTGCCACTGCAGTTGACATCTAGCACTTGTCAGTACCCTGATGTCCACCTGCATGTAAGGAACCATCAGAATAAATACAACCATCTTCCCACCTGGAGTACGTAAGCATCACTCCATCCCTTCAAGGGATTCCCATCTGCCCAAGATCTACCCAGATGTGTTTGTTCTGGGTGAAATTCTGCCCTGCTCTCACACAATCCTAGCTCTCTGAAATTGCTTTTGCACAGGTATGAGGGTAGAATTGGGCCCACTCTGTTTAATATATAAATATACATATATAAAACAAATATATTTTATTTATATATGCAATCCAGTAAAGGAGATTAAACAGAGTAGGATGCCTAGGGATTTGTTATCCAGTCTCCTCCTCCTTCCTTGACTGTTCTCTTGTATGTATACAGCACATTCCCAGGTTCTGGTTTATGCAGGTATGCGTGTTATGAAACGTCATTAATGGTGGTTGGTCTACATATCCGTCTAATAACTAATAACTAATCTCGTGTATGTAATATCAATACAGAAATGACTACTTTTAATAGAATTAACTCTTTGGCTTTTGTTCTGTTAGTGCGATTTAAACAAGCCAACGCCGTTCGGAATAGGTTGTTTTTTCCTTAAGAGGCATGAAAAGCATCTATTATCGTGTTACAATGTTAAAATATTCAGTCTTTGACAGAAAAAAAACGTGTACTGTGTAGGCATTGCAGCAACAAAATAGAAAAAGATAAAAAAAATCCCCCCCCGCTCCAAGGCATTTGACTTCTTCCAGGTGTTGATTGTGCCAAATACGTGCAAAGATATAATCCACTGGTTTAAAAAAGTCCTCAAAGCGTCTGCTAGAGCACACAAAGACTTATTTTGTCATCGAGTGATTTCAATCTTCAGTGTTAATATTTATATTTAGATTGATTTTTATAAATGAAAACTATTTTACTGGGCAAAACGAGGACTAGATGATCTATTGGGTTCAGTCTGAGTGAATGTTAAGTTTGCCTTGTTATTATTATCTGCGTACTCACCAAGAACTGTTGTCCAGAGGAATTATAAAAGAGTAAAAGTGGTTTATGAACAGAATGCCTTTGATTCATAAAGAAAAACCAAAAGTTGCTCTCTGGTGTTTGCATTTCCGTGCACTTGGGCCAGGAAGCCTGTCCACAGCGACCCGTCACAGCCTCCCTTAGCTGAGGTGAGGAGCACGCAGTAACACGCTCCGTTCATGTCCATGGGGCTGCGGTGGGAGGAATGCCGTTGGGAACGCCTCATGGTGAGTCTTCTCCAAGCTCCCAAGTCTGTTGGGTGAAATAGCATCTCAAAAGGCACGATTGCGCCCAAAGGGAGAGCAAGAAGCTCAACCTAGATAATCATAGTCTGGTGTGTCCAAAGTCTCATGCAGTGAATGCTCATCAGAACACTTTTTGATTAGCATCTTTTCTCCACTATGAGTGTGTTCATTTAAACCCGCATGTTTTAAGTAATACTTCGGGTCAGCAGGTAGTATTTAGATATAGTAGCAAATAGCAGATAGTATTAGAAATAGTATTATAAATAAGCACATAGTATTCTAAATAGTAGTAAATACCCTATTATAGTAAAAATCCAAAGAGAACAAAAAGGGTTAAATCACCTACAGTGATGAATTCAACCACTATTAAATCGTAGTAGTAATTCCAAGAAGGCACAGTTAGAAATGCAAGTTCATTCCAGTGTCCCTTTTGCAGAACGGCTGTGGCCTGGATTTAACCATTGGTCATTAGCTAAATTGTCAACTATCTTTTTTGGATATAAGCCATAGATTAAACTGCATTCAAATATTATTGCTGGTAATAGATATGAATCAAGATTAAACATACTGTAAATAACATGTCTTACTAATATAACATAGTTAATCACCATGGCAGATGTATTGAGCCACAGCCCCAGGCTCGTAGATGTGGACTAAGGTAGCAGCAGCACATGGCTTGTGATCCTCCAAGAGTGACTTTAGCTTGACCAGGTAACGTGGTTACAAACACCTGCATCGTTTCAAAGGGAATCAGCTGGTTTGGGCACTGACCCCTTTTGGGCAGTGGTGCACAACTACCTGCAGTAGGCACAGAATTACTCTTCAAAGTTCAATCAGCCTCTATTTTTGTTCTCTTCAGCAGGGAGAAAACACTTATCCTTGATAGGAGCAGCTTTTTGTTCAGTGAGATACCTCTCCAGCAGCACAGGAAGAATCATGAAGTGCCAGTGGACAGTTCAGGGCAACATTCCTACAGGTGGATGCTAACAAGCTATGTAAAAACTACACAGAGAGCACCAGCATTACTGCAGGTACATTAAAAATTAATGAGAGCCTTTATTCTTTCTTCCAACCATTGCTTTTTATTTTTTACATATCAACAGCCATTTACTTTGAAATGTGACAGGAAGGTTTCATGATAGACTTAACACTGCAGAGTTTAAATCCCAGCACAAAGGCTGTGTGCGTTTTGGTAGACTGAACGTTACAGTGAACAGCATCAGGAAATGGGTGGGGACAGAAGACAAAGAATAAGCTGTGGTGGCACTTAGTTCTAGTGTCCATGCCTTTTACCTTCACCCTGAACACGTTTCTCTTTGAAGGAACTTGCACAAGGAGCAGAAAGAAGAGCAGGGTGGGATTGCTAGGCAAAAGCAGAACTGGTGCCTGAGGTGCAGGGGAGGATGTGATTCCAAGCACAGAGGTTGGGTTGCCACCTCAGGGAACAGAGGTCACCAGTCACTGTCTTGTGTGCCCAACACTTTGTGCTCCCACAAAGTGTTCAAGATATAATCCAGGTGTCTGCTTGCAGGCCTTAGGCTGTCAGGGCTGCTCCTCAGGTGCCTCTTCCCAAAGCGACCGATGGGGCGCACGCCACGGCCCACGTACCAAAAAGGATCGATCTCAGGACCTGGAATTCAAAGCAGACCATGAAGCATCTACCACTGCACTTACAGGCAACATTTCCTGAACATCTGGAGAGTGCTGGATGGCTTAGCCCAAGAGAAAACACAAGGGGAAAGGCTGCAGCCAGACACACGACTTCGGGGTGTCTTTGAGGGTTGCTTTCCATGTGTAAAGACCAAAGGAGGAAGATTCAGATGCAGAAATAACTTTCATCTGTCTGGGCTGCAGCCTGCAGATCATGGAATCCCAGACTGGTTTGGGGTGAAATGACCTTAAGATCATCCAGTTCCAACCCCCTGCCAGGTTGCTCCAAGCCCCTGTGTCCAACCTGGCCTTGAACACTGCCAGGGATGGGGCAGCCACAGCTTCTCTGGGCACCCTGTGCCAGTGCCTCAGCACCCTCACAGGGAAGAGCTTCTGCCTAAGAGCTCATCTCAATCTCCCCTCTGGCAGGTTGAAGCCGTCCCCCTTGTCCTGTGCCTACAGGCCCTTGTCCAAAGCCTCTCTCCAGCATCCTTGTAATCTAACGTAAGCCGAAGTACCCATCTGATTCAGGAGGGCACAGGATGCTTTAAAACTGATCTGAACCTTGGAAGAGGTGTCAGTGCAAGGTACAAACACCACAGTACCTCCACCATCTTTAAAACTCTCTTCTCTTAGCTAAAGACCTGAAGTCCAAGCATCCAGCTCCATCACTGCTATATACACCAGGTACACTATAGAGTAACATCCACTGGAGTGCAGGGGGGTTCCTGTGAGATGGAAGCATGAAAACCTAATTCTTGTTCACTTAGGAAGTTGTTTCCTATGGAAAATGGATGACATTTTGCTTTGAAAGCATCTGAAGTGCACTTATACCTGACTTACTTACTTTGATAGTCTCATCTAGGTTTAGAGCAGGTGTGGAGAGGGGTATATGTTATACTAAAAGACTAAGATACAACAAGAGGGAATATCTACAAAGTGCTGGAGATGATGCCATCCCAAGGAAACGCCAAATGATTCCAAAGGACTGTCAGGAACAGGGACACATTTGAATTGAAGTGCATTATAGATCATCCACCTCATAGGAAGGTTTCAGGCAAGGCAGCAGGATTTTCCCCTGTGCATTTTGATGCATGAACAGAGAAAACAGAAACCCCCCTTTGGCTGGACTTTTTTCTCTATCAGTGCATGTTTGAAGTCTTCCCACATGTTTAACCCCCTCCTGCCCACCAACACCCAAACAAGGTCACTTTCTTCACCTGGGTACATAAAAACCGAGGTTCCCACCATCACTAATGCTCTTTAATGGGGAAAGGTGTCCCACTGAGAGCCCATGTGCCTTACTCCCCGCACCTCCTCTCCCCCACTCCACATACAGTTACCAGCCTTTGCTCCCTGGGGGAAGATGACATTTCCTGATACAGATTTTCCTCAGAAACCTTTTGGCCTGTGTGTTTGTTAGCTTTTACTCAGGTGATACGGGACTCTGTGTGTGTCCCCCCTCCAGCCTCAGTTCCTCACAGCATCTCTAAATGGAGACCCTTCAACCATTGACTTGCATTTTGACTTGGAGACAACTCGTGGTTCCAGACAGAAATCAAAGTGTCTGTAGAGCACACTTAAACTTCTGGCCTTTGCTTTCTTCTTACTGTATAGTAGTTGTGAACTACTTTGGCTCCACAGGACACAGCTGAAATTTCAAGCCTATTGCATTCCATCAGGTGATGCTCATACTTACTCCTGTTGTCTATCTGGTGTTTAAATGGTCTGCTCTGTCCTGAAGCAAAGCTGAGCGATACCAGGAGCACCAGCAGGTAGACAGTGACCATCTTTAAGTGCTTTGGTGACCACTGGGCACGCGGTGTCCACGAGATTGGATGCCACATGATGGAGCAGCGGTGGGAAGGCTGTGAGGAGGTAAGTGAACATAGGGAACACGTTATGAGTTAAAGCTCTCAAGGTGAAGGAAGGTATTGACTGTAACGGGGTATTTCTATCTATCAGACCCATGTCACAACTCAGTTCTTGAAACACTGGTGCTGAGGCTGTCCTGGGTATTTCTGTTTGAAGGCAAAGGCTATGCAGTGAGCCATCTACTGAGGTAACTCTGCAACCAGTGGGTTTTGCTCACCACCAGTGAAAGCCTCTCTCTTGGCTTCACAGGACACTGGAGTCCTGGCCCTGAGCTTGCTTCTGACTTTCTATGTGGCCCCTTGTAAGAGCATGGGCACTGGCCACCAAAATGCGTTTTAGCCACTGCCTTTCACCCCTTCCTCACTTGCAAAATATGTCTAACGTTTGCATTTTACACATTCCTTGTACAACTAAATGTGTTTCAGTAGGGACAGGACAAGGGGGGATGGCTTTAACCTGACAGGGGGGGAGACTGAGATGAGCTCTTAGGCACAAGCTGTTTCCTGTGAGGGTGCTGAGGCGCTGGCACAGGGTGCCCAGAGAAGCTGTGGCTGCCCCATCCCTGGCAGTGTTCAAGTGTTCAACCTGCTCTAGTGTGAGGTGTCCCTGCCCATGGCAGGGGGTTGGAACTGGATAATCTTAAGGTCCTTTCCAACCCAAACCAGTCTGGGATTCTATGAAAGGGAACATTCTGCCTGTGTCACCAATTCCTTGCTGACCCTGTCAGTGGCAGTTTGTAGGAGCTTCCTCACAGCAGCATTCCCACATGCCATGCAAGGACACTCTGCCTTGAACACACAAGGTCTGCCTGCATATTGGGCAGCATGGAGCCTCTGCTTACAGTCAGCAGGAGCCCATTTGCTTAAGCATCCCTTAGGCAGATATGCAGGCACAGAGCTATAGGAAATCCTCTTGTCAATACCTGCACAGAGGCTTCTGCTTGTGTTTTTTCCCCTGTGGTTGTCAAAATCCTAACCTGCTTGCAGTACAGGCAAGCAGGAATGAACATCTTTTGATGCGAGATGCTCCCAAGCACACCACACAGGCAATGCAGCAGCAGCACGTGGAGAACGTGCTTGTGTCTCATTGAAATGCAAAGTCAAAAGCTCCTCAAGCCCCAGTTATCACTGAAGGCTTGTTTGGGGGTTTTTATCCCACATCAACAATTAAGTCAGCAGGCAACTCGGAGAACACTGATTTTAACCCACCATTTCAACGGAACCATGAGTTAACTTTTCTAACTCACATATCTCATGCCAACCTCGTGCCAATCAGGATTTTGGCACATAAAAGCACACGGGATGAGTTTTGGTTTCAGCTGGTGTGTCTCTCACGTTGCTCCATGTTTAGCAAAGCCTTAAATTCAATGAGACAAGACAATGGTGTTTTGGGGAATCTCCCTGGTGTGCTTACAGGGCTGCTGACAGGCTTTCCAGATTACCTCCTGCCTAGTTTTTGCCTGGGAACTGAGTGACAGAAAGGAAGAGCTTGCCTGGAGCTCATTGTTAATGACAGACAGAAACACAGGGAAAAGCTTTTAGCACAAGCCTTCTCCTAAGCAGTCCTGTGTCTCAAGTCCCCACCATTCTGGCTGTGCCATTATTTACTTGTTGCCATTTTTTGCTCAGGGCTTCCACTGCTCCTCAGTACCCTAAACAGTGAGGGAGCTCAGCACCTCCAATCCTCCCTAATTTTTGCTCCTCCTAATCATCCCACCCCATTTGTATGGGGAGAAGCTGAGGAAGAGATGCCACAAACTTAACCCCGTGTGTTGCTGAGCATCTGTACCTTGTCAGTAGGCTATGAGGATAAGCACAAAATCTGGTTATCCACTTCCACGAGTAATGGGGCTGGAGGTGGTCTGTGAGCAACTCGGGTCCAGGCCTGCCTTAGCCCACAGATCTATAGCTTTCTTCCAAAGGGAGAGCTGAAAAACAAGACCTCCTGCAGTCACTCTGTGTGTGTCCTCCGCTTCCAACCAGTGAATGAGCCTCCAAAGCTTGGAAAACTGACTAGTTTCAACAAAGCACAATGAGAAGTTTCAGGACTGATTTTCCCCTGGAGCTCAGCAGCAGTCAGCACTGATGCCACTTGGGCAGTTTGCTGCTTCTGCTTTGTCCCTGAGCAGAAAGAGCCCTTACATTTTGACTGAGCAACACCTGTGAGAGCTATCTGGCAATTCCTATCAGCATGGGAGGGGAAAGGTAAAGCCATTAATAACATTACAGTGAAACCACAGCATCACAGCTTGCTGTGAGTCTGCCTCATACAAGCCATGGGACACGAGCCTGGCACACAGGGGCTCTCAGCACACCAAACTCAAGCTCTGCTGCAGATCCATGAGGTCTAAGCCTCCCATGGATGTCATAGAATCCCAGACTGGTTTGGGTTGGAAAGGACCTTAAGATCATCCAGTTCCAACCCCCTGCCATGGCCAGGGACACCTCACACTAGAGCAGCTTGCTCCAAGCCCCCGTGTCCAACCTGGCCTTGAACACTGCCAGGGATGGGGCAGCCACAGCTTCTCTGGGCACCCTGTGCCAGCGCCTCAGCACCCTCACAGGGCAGAACTTCTGCGTTAGATCTAACCTGAACTTCCCCTGTTTCAGTTTGAACCCATCACCCCTTGTCCTGTCACTACAGTCCCTACTGAAGACATGTCCTCAGAAGATAAGGTGCTACTAACACTTTAAACCCTAAAATAGCATCTTCCTCAAGATCAGCACTGTGAATACCCCCTCCCATGCAAACACAAATAGCTTTCAAGCTTGAAAGCAGTGCTGGAGATCCCCACATGAGACCAAATCCCTGCTGAAGCCAGGCCTGGGACCATGGCTCATTTCAGGGCTGAGCAGCACAAGAGGCTGGGCTCTCCATGCAGGGGCTAAACACTGCCTGTAGTGTTTAGCATGGTCCCTCCAGTGCAACACCTGAGCAGAAGTCAGTGAGCACAGAGCACGGCTGAGCGCATCAGTGCAGAAAGGCTGAAGCTCCAAAGGAACAATAGGACATTCAGGCAGAAAGAGGCAGGACAAACACTGAAGCAGACAGCGCGAGGCACTCACCTGCTTGCACCAGAGCCACTCCTCAGGTAGCCACTGCTGCAAGGAGAAGCAGGGCAGCTGCTGGGGGCTTGTGCCTTTTATCCTGGGAGGAACTGGGCTCGAGGGAGTGCGGGGGAGCCAAGAGGGGGGCCAGGAGCACGTCAGCAGTACCAGTGAGCAGTCTGAGTTTGCGGAAGGAGGGGTTGAGAACTGTGACAGGAACCCTCAGAAAGCCATTGATCAGGAGCCGAGGACAGCACCAGCACATGGCAGGGTGCTGAGACACCCCCCCCAGCACACCAGGAGGGGGGCAGAGTGAAGGAGATCGCTGCCACATCCCTATGGATGTGGGGACACGGCATAACGGAGTAGCACGGGCTGCCAGATCCCTGCACAGCAGAGCCAAGCTCTCTGTGCTGCCTGGCTGAGATGCTCTGCCTGAAGCACGTGTCTGCAGGGGGAAAACACTCATGGTGGGGTTGAGGTGTGGGGAGGAGATGGACAGTGGGGAGCTCTCAGGGCCGGCAAGCTGGAGCAGTAAGTCCATGCATCCTTTCCCAGGCCTTGCTCCTCTTGCTATTGTCCCATCACTATGTTTTGCTTAGAATCTTACTTGATGGCAGCTCTAAGCCCCTAAGCCATGACTGGGATCAATTTATCCCCATTTAAGTCTTAGGCCATACTGCAATACAGCACCCAAGGAGCTGATGGGATCGCTTGTGGGTCAGTGCTTCAGCAGGTGCTGACCAACTTTGTGGCTCGTATCTTGAGCGATATTGTATTGCTACAGCAGCAGATACCTCACTCCCTCAGCATCGCTCTGCAGGGGCTGAGACAGGCAGTGTCACCGCAGGCTCTCTTGCTGACACCCTTGCAGGTGCACGGGTGCTCTGCTCCTGTGAGACTGATGACCGGGAGGAGACTGAATAAGAAATGCTGCAACCCCATCAGGGTGAAGCGTAGGTTCAATAACAGCTCTGTTGTTCAGTTTCTCTATGAGGATGCTTTCAGTCGGGGAGCAGCTCAATGTACAAATGACACTATTTCACTGCAGCAATACTCTTCCATTCTCTGATTTCCACCTAGTAACAGCTAAAAGAAGTGTCTCCCTCATCCAAGTTTTCAAGAGTTTAATCAGACTGCTCAGGATTACAACTGCAAAACGTGAAGAGCACTCCATGTCTGTGCTAGCACAAAAGGTCCTTCTACAGCTAACACAATCGATAGTGTATACACATACTTTCTTCAGCATCCTCCTTTTAGCGTGTTCCCTTTGAACCTTGCCAACGCTCCCTGCCTAAAAATCAATCTGCATCTAAGGAGCAGGCAGTGACTGTGCTTCTGCTGTGATAATTGCATGTGTATGCATGGAGAGGGTACCTTCTTAGTAAGTAAAACCCTTTATGGGTTTGCATCACAGATCTCTTCCCTTACTGATCTTCACGTTGATTTTGAGCGGAAAATGTGGGTATCCTTCCCTGATCTCTAGTGGGGATGATCTTAAGGTCCTTTCCAACCCTAACTGTTCTATGATTCTATGATTCAGAACACCGTGTCAATTCAAGCAGCCAAACCACACTGTTAATTACACAGAGCGTTGCGCTGTTCTTCACTGATACCCAGGTTACCGAAAAGCCAGGACTGGCTGGATTTTGGAGCTATGTTTTAAGCTGGGAAACAGGACCATCTAGTGGTTAACACAGACGCCTCTCTCCTTTCCCTCTCCCTAACCTTCTCCCTCTTTCTCTCCTCTCCCGGACAGAACACGCGGAGCTGGGGGGCAGAGCCCAGCCACAGCCCCGGCAACGCCGCTTCCACACCGGTGTCCACCAGGACCGCTCCTCTCTGTCCCTTTAACCCCGGCTGTGGCTCTCGGCAGCGGCTTCTCCCTTCGCCCCCGCAGCCCCGGACCTTCCGTCGGGACCCATCACCGCCCCTCTCGTCAGCCGGAGCCCCACGGGGCCGGTTCTGGGCAATGACCCTGGAGGGCCCGAGCCAGGGCGATTCCTT